ACAGTGGCTCCTTTATGTGTCTTTTCTTAAATTGCTAGTAATTGTGGACAATGTAGACAAGAAAGCAGAAGAACATGGAAGTCCTGCTTTTGCCTCTTATCAGCCACTGGATTTGCTCTGTGTGAAATGGATGCAATAAAGCCATTTTCCATGAGTATTTTGAGAGTTAAATGAGAATAGAACTTATGAACTACTCTGTGAATCCTGTGAGTTAATAGCTCATGGAGTCTTCTTGCTGGGTTGGGATGCAACAATTTATATGTTTGAAATAAACTGTCTCCTTTTCCCTCATGTTCTTGTCTTTGTAGCTGTTTTTTCTCTTTACTTGAGTTAGGAAGAGACTGTTAATGATTCCTGTTAAAGTCCTTAAGGTCACTTTGGAATGAGCTGGACATGGTCATGCTTCCTTTTAATCTGTGTTTTCCATGTGACCAAGAACTCTTTGTTTACTGACAATAAACCACATACTATTCTGCACCTAAAATGTGGCTTACTAATGTCAAAAATTACTGCAGAAATGAGTTATTTCCATCTGTGGAGAAATTTTTTTCCCTTAGGTCCGTTTGTCAAGGCAACAGCTGAAGCTGTGGTTGATTACATGTACCCCAGAAAATTAAGCTGTATAAAATTAGAAATAGCCACTGCTTTATGCTAAGAGTCTTTCTCTCAGGGGCTTTCACTGTTCTGTTACTGCAGACATGCTTTGGCAGAGTTAGCAAGTGTCTGCACCAATAAACACATTAAATAAAATTTTTGTTCAATAAAAGATTCTGTGAATGAGGGCTAAATAATGAAGTAAAAAATCTGAAATTTTGCTGAGAGGATGGCCTTATTTCTGATGGTTGTTTAAGTTATCTCAACTTCTTTCAAACAAAAAGATAATTTATCTATTGTCTTTAGAAAATGAACTTTCTGAAACAGCAAGCCCTGCAAAAGGAGATGATGGGTTTACTGAAGACCCTGTACATGATCTAAATGTCCACATCATGTGACCCTTATAATCTAGTCACATCCCTTTTTTTCTCTCTTATATGACTGACCCCAAGGACAATGCTAAGTGCCACCCAGGGTCACTAGACTGGCCTGTGATTGGTCCCATAGGAAATGTAAATATGTCATGTAGATGATCAGTAGCAGCATCTTTTTTGATACTCAGGTTAGAAATCCAGGAGTCAGAAATTTAGAAATCCATGACTTCTGTTTCATTATTCATGCTCAACCAGCCATAATGTCCATCCATTCTGTACTTGATCCTTGAACAATGTGAGAGTAAATCCAAGTATGATTTATAGTAGGTTGTTTGTGTCTCCAGTTCCTCCACATCCTCTGACCACAGACTATATAGTGCTGTAGTATTTACTATTGAAAAATGTCCACATATAACTGGACCCACACAGGTAGGGAAAAAGCAAGCCAAGCAATCATCTTTTCCTGAGTTCAGATCTTGACTCTTCCACATACTGGCTGCATGACCCTGGGCAAGTTGTTTTAACTTCTGCAAGCTTTATTTCTTTATTTGTATAATGAGCTTTAACAGTACTACCTAGCTCATACAATTTCATAAGGATCAATGAGATGATCTGTGAAAAGCACTCAGAAAATGGTGCACACTCAGTAGATGTCAGTTGCTAATATGTCCGTCTACTCACAATTAAAGCATAAAGGTCTATAATCAGTTGTCACCATCCAACATGACATCTACTGCATTATAGCTGTTGACTTTGCTGCCTGTCTTTTCCACACAATTGTGAGCTCCTAGTGAGTAGGCATAGTCTCATTTTATCCCCAGCTTCTGAAACAGTGCCAAACACATGGTAGGGTAACAGAATTGAAAGAGACAAGTGTACCCCAGTGTTTATTGCAGCACTGTTTACAATAGCCGGGACATGGAAGCAACCTAGATGTCCATCGGCAGATGAATGGATAAGAAAGCTGTGGTGCATATACACAATGGAATATTACTCAGCTATTAAAAAGAATGCATTTGAATCAGTTCTAATGAGGTGGATGAAACTGGAGCCTATTATACAGAGCAAAGTAAGTCAGAAAGAAAAATACCAATACAGTATATTAACACATATATATAGAATTTAGAAAGATGGTAACAATAACCCTATATGTGAGACAGCAAAAGAGACACAAATGTAAAGAACAGATTGTTAGACTCTGTGGGAGAAGGTGAGGGTGGGATGATTTGAGAGAATAGCATTAAAACATGTATATTAATATACGTGAAATAGATTGCCAATCCAGGTTCGATACATGAGGCAGGGTGCTCAGGGCTGTTGCACTGGGATGACCCTGAGAGATGGGATGGGGAGTGAGGTAGGAGGGAGGGTCAGGATGGGGAACACATGTACACCCATGGCTGCTTCATGTGAATGTATGGCAAAACCACTACAATATTGTAAAGTAATTAGCCTCCAATAAAAATAAAAATAAATAAGTAAAATTTAAAAATAAATAAATAAATAAATAAAGATGAGTAAGACAATATCCATGTCTCGAGAAATTCATAGTCCAAGACATCAGGAAAACATCATATTATCATTGTAATAAAATTAGTTTTTTAACCTAAGTAAAAAATAAAGAAATATTTGGTGAATGAATAAATGACTTACTGTCTACCTAAAGTTCAGTTGTCTGGCTCTAGGTAAGTGATCGCACCATCATGCTTATCTGAGTCATTAAGATCTTTTTGTATAGTTTTTCCGTGTATCACTCACCTAGAGCCAGACATCCTAGAATGTGAAGTCAAGTGGGCCTTAGGAAGCATCACTGCAAACAAAGCTAGTAGAGGTGATGGAATTCCAGTTGAGCTATTTCAAATCCTAAAAGATGATGCTGTTAAGGTGTTACGCTCAATATGCCAGCAAATTTGGAAAACCCAACAATGGTCACAGGATGGGAAAACATCAGTTTTCATTCCAATCCCAAAGAAAGGCAATGCCAAATAATGTTCAAACTACTGCACAATTGCACTCATCTCACACACTAGCAGAGTAATGCTCAAAATTGTCCAAGTTAGGCTTCAACAGTACATGAATCAAGAAGTTCCAGATGTTCAAGCTGGTTTTAGAAAAGGCAGAGGAACCAGAGATCAAATTGCCAACATCCATTAGATCATAGAAAAAGCAAGAGAGTTCCAGAAAAACATCTACTTCTGCTTTATTGACTACGCCAAAGCCTTTGACTGTGTGGATCACAACAAACTGTGGAAAGCTCTTCAAGAGATGGGAATACCAGACCACCTTACCTGCCCCCTGAGAAATCTGTATGCAGGTCAAGAAGCAACAGTTAGAACTGGACATGGAACAATGGACTGGTTCCAAATTGGTAAAGGAGTATGTCAAGGCTGTATGTTGTCAACCTGCTTATTTAACTTACATAAGAGTATATCATGTGAATGCCAGACTGAATGAAGCTCAAGCTTGAAATCAAGATTGCTGGGAGAAATATCATTAGCCTCAGATATGCAGATAATTCCACCCTTATGGCAGAAAGCAAAGAGGAACTAAAAAGCCTTTTGATGAAAGTGAAAGAGGAGAGTGAAAAAGTTGGCTTAAAGCTCAACATTCAGAAAACTAAGATCATGGCATCCAGTCCCATCACTTCATGACAAATAGATGGGGAAACAATGTAAACAGTGACAGACTTTATTTTCTTGGGCTCCAAAATGACTGCAGATGGTGACTGCAGCCATGAAATTAAAAGACACGTGCTCCTTGGAAGAAAAGCTATGACCAACCTAGACAGCATATTAAAAAGCAGAGACATTACTTTGCTGACAAAGGTCCATCTAGTCAAGGCTATGGTTTTTCCAGTAGTCATGTATGAATGTGAGAATTGGACTATAAAGAAAGCTGAGCACCGAAGAATTGATGCTTTTGAACTGTGGTGTTGGAGAAGACTCCTGAGAGTCCCTTGGGCTGCAAGGAGACCAAGCCAGTCAATCCTAAATGAAATCAGTCCTGAATATTCATTGGAAGGACTGATGCTAAAGCTGAAGCTCAAATACTTTGGCCACCTGATGCAAAGAGCCGACTCATTAGAAGAAACCCTGGTGCTGGGAAAGATTGAAGGCAGGAGGAGAGGGGATGACAGATGATGAGATGGTTGGATGGCATCACCAATTCAATATTCATGAGTTTGAGCAGGCTCCAGTAGTTGGTGATGGACAGGGAAGCCTGGCATGCTGCAGTCCATGGGGTTGCAAAGAGTAGGACACAACTGAGCGACTGAACTGACTGAACTGAAAGTTCAGCTAAGAGGAAAAGAATATTTCATCCACTGCTCTAGACACTTGCAAAATTTCCCCAGATATAAAGCTAGATCAAAAAGGGTAGGAATCTATAAGAATTGCCCTACTTTTAATTCATTTATCTCTTGCTATTAATATGTACCTAGAACTATGCTAAACTTGTATTAATAAGTAATGCATTGAGTCACAGAGAGGTTAGGAAATTTGCTCAAGGTCACAGAGCTGAAATGCAGCTGCACCACTCACATGAGCTCCAGAATGTTCTTTTATCTGGATCTGCTTTGCACTAAGACTATGAGGCTGTGGGGATGGACTGTGGAAACAGTACTCTGTGAATCCCATCGTTTTGACTAAAGTAAGGTTGCTGTTGAGAAGACCAAAGAGGAAATTTAATTCTGCTTTTGATATTTCCTTGCATCTGAGGGTGTATTTGGCTTTTTGATTCATGGAACTATGAGAATTTTGTCAATAATGAGCATTCTCTTTTCTTACTTGACACTACAATACTTAAAGCCAGGGGTGTACCATGCTCTCCCCCAATATATATTAGTCTTTGTGGTGTGAATTTAGCACCTGTTTTGTTTTTTTTTTTTAACTTTCTCATATATTTCTAATTTATAGTTTTTTACGGAGTTTATGACTCTTGTGCGCTTCTTTGAACCCCTTTGGGAATAAGGCAGGGTGTGTCCTGTTCATGTTTTTATGGCTTGTGTGGTTAACTCTTCTATTTATCATTTAGGAAGTAGAAGCACAATTGGAAGAAGTGAAGAAGAAATCAGAAAATGAAATAAAGCAGCTGGAAGAAGAGAAAGCGGCCCTAAGTGTGAAGCTCCAGAATTCACTGCTTGAGGTAAGTCCTGAATAAACACTGTGCTTGGGAGTGATGATTCTGGACTCTAGGAGTTTTTTTTTTTTTTCTCATTTATTTTTATTATTTGATTAACTAACGTGCCAGGAATCTCAGGAAGTCACCCTGACTTTCTTACATTTAGCATCCTTGCGAGGAAGAAAAAGACTTTAGCCTGACAGGAAGATGATCTCAGGGGCATAAATTCAGCTGCAAGTAACAGAGAGCCTGATTTATAGAGGCTTAACAAAGAGGCACTTAATGTTATACATAAAAGAAGGAGGCAGGAGGCTGCAGGCGTTGATTCTGTGGCTAAATAATATCAGGTCTGGAAAATCTGCAAGCCTCTTGGTCCCGCCATCTCCCCACCTTCTGGCAGTTTTCTGGGCATTAGATACTTCTGCCTTTGTGGACTCTCTTCTTCATCAAAAAGAATTAAAAATTTTAATTTGTAACTGCATTGCCATAAAGGTGAATACAGCAAGGCTGCGTTTTTTCCTTCAAATTTTGAATGAAAACATTTTCATGGTCCCTAAATGTATCACAGGTCCCTGACACTGCATGTGGGAGAAGTTGGCTCAGAGTCCCCTTGGTTGTGAGAATGACTGTCACTGACCAGTTGTCATGTCCAAATTTAAAACAGGAAACGAGTAGGGGCAGGGGTGACCAAGCCTGCCCACTTCTTTAGAAAAACAGAAGAGTGTACTGAAGCCCCTAGCTGACTCCTGCTCCCATTGGTAACATCTGTGCCACGTGGCTAGCCTGGGAAACCAAGGATTTAGCCATCAGGCCTCCATGCTGGAGGCCAGCCAGAAGAGTGGGATATGAAATGGGTGTAAGCCAGCTGAACTGTGGGGTTTTCTTCCTGGGCCCATCTGTCCAAACCACCCAGGGACAAGTTCAAAGTTTAAAAGCACTGTGGACAGTATTACTGGGGAGAAAAACTTGCCACTGGACTCTCTTCATCCTTTAGTGCTATTAACACTGTGCCAGCACTCCTGGGCAGTTTTTTGCTGAAAGTTCTCTGCAGTAGTACCTACCTCATAGTGATTGTTAGGAGAATTAAGACTTAATACTGTAAAATGCTTAGGTCTGTGCCTGACACAGAGCAAGCACGTCATTAATGATGCTCTTTTTATATTTTACATATGTCTACTGAATGTTGTTGTGATTGTAAGTGTGCATCTGTCTCCTCCATTAGATGACAGCTCCTTGAAGGCAGGAACAATATTTTACGTTACCATCTTGCTCTCAGGCTGTTTCTTCTCCTCCCCACCTTATGCCTAGCATGGTACCTGAGGAGCATTAGTTTCAGCAACATCTGAGTTTCCTTTATGGTTATTAGTTCTTCTCAAAGTGTAGAGCTGGGAAACCAATCTGTTTAATTCACACTCTACATTTAGTTGGTTAATAATAATCATCATAATTAAGGCCTTATAATGTAGTAGCATCCTGCAGCCACCCTTCTCTCATATTATCTGTATAATTCTTAAACATTGTTCCTTTTCTTTACCAACTAACTTTGTAAAAATGAAATAGGGTGGCCTTCCAGGAGTGGTTTGAAAACCAGTGGAAACCATGCTACAGCTTTGGTATAGTTATATGGACATGAATAATTTAAAGGGAAGTGTTGGATATTGTAAACATGCCAGGCTCATTGTCTTCTGAAGAAATAAGCAACTAGCTAACTAGATATGGCCCCTCAAGAAGCGTGTCTGGGATTTGCCTAGTGAGACCCTGTCCCCAGAAGTGATTGACTCAAAGGAACAGGCTCCCAGATTAATGACCACAGCCAGGTGGTAGAACTTTGCTTCATCGCTGAATATTTCTATTCTTCTATTTTAGGTTTTAAGGCTGGAAGAATTTATCCAACAGAATAAGGCATGTCCCCCAAGAGGCAATGAAAGGCCCCAGGAATTGGACTGCCAGCACTACAACATTTTAGAGACCCAGGTAACCTCTAGCTTTTTCTGCTTTAATTAAGGATATTTTTCTTCTCCTTTTCAGCACTTTGGTGTCCCCAGTGACACATGCTGGCATTAATGGGCCCTTTTATTTCCCCTCTCGGAGCTGCCAAAATGCCTGGGGAAAAAAATCATTATAAAATCAATTTGCAACAACCATGAAGAAAATAGAGTTCTGAGTAATTATCTGCATGGTTTGAAAAAGAACAAGGCTTGTCAGATAAATCTTCCCTCCCTCTCTGAGAGCAACCTGGCTGGCAGACAAAGGGGCACTGGACTAGAGTGGGGTCTTTGGTTCTGCCTGGAGCATGAAGCCTAACAGTAATCACAATGCCCCCTTGCATCCCTCCGCATCCACATCCATATCCGTGATATCTGTTACTCTCACGGTAGCCCTCCCACGTGATGCTGCCCCTTTTTAAGGGATGGTGCTTCAGGATTGAATCTAGTTTCTGTTTGTCTCTGTCAGGCTCATGCTAGGCTGTGTTCTTTCCTAGGGTTGCCACAATGAATTACCAACCCTTGGGGCTTAAACCACAAAAATGTATTGTCTCACAGTTTTGAAGACTGAAAGTCCAAAATCACAGTGTGAGCAGGGTTGGCTCCTTCAGGTGGCTCTGGGTAGAGTCTGTTCCAGCTTCTGGGGGTTGGTGGCACTCCTTGGCATTCCTTGGCTTGTCACCACATCATTAACTTTCTTATAGGGACACTAGTCATTGGATTTAGGGCTCACCCTAATCCAGTATGACCTTATTTTAACTAATTACATCCTCAAGAGCCCAGGTTGCAAGTAAAGTCACTTCTTTAGGTGCTGGAGTTAAGACTTCAATGTCTCTTCTTGGGGGCACAATTTAACCTAAAATATAGGCACTCAGTTAACATTCCTTGCATAATGTCAGAAACATAAATTCTTCCTGTAAGTTCATGTTTGAGTACCCTGGCCTGAAGGACCCTCTTGGTTCCTATTTCAGCTTACCTCTTAATCTTTACAGCTGGCACCATCAAAAATCCATTGCCTAAATTTCATATATTTTACTGCTGCCTCAAATTTTCAGTCTACTTCAGATTTCAGGTGGGAAAACACTATGTAGGTGAGTCTGAATCTCACTGCTTTGTCCTCTTCCATTAATCCACCCATTTCCCTGTGCCTGTGTGTCTTCAGAAACTATAAGTTTTCCTTGTTGATTCCAGTTCTATTTTGCAAACAGCCCTACTGGGATAACCCATACTTAACCTTAACCACATATTCACCAGGATAGAAATGAGTCAAAAATCTAGTGGCTATGGATTTGAATAACAGTATTGGTCAGTTATACAGCACTGTCTCCATTCATGACCTCATTGGAATTTGTGTAACCCTGTAATGTAACCATTTTACAAAAGAGGAAAGTGAAAGACAGAGAAGTTAGATGACTCGCTCATGGTCACAGGCAGATAAGCAGTCGAGATGGGATGGAGCTAGGTCTCTGGCTCTGATCCCCCACTCTTCCTATAAGAGTATCAACACATGTCTAGGATGCCTTCCAGATAAAATAGGCTATAGTTGTATGTCCTGGGATTAAGGAGAGTGGCCAGGACTCCCCACATTTCCTCCTTTGACACCCAGATGTGGGGGAAATTCTTGAGCAGCCCCCATTGCCCCTGCATAAGCTTGGAGGAGAAATAAAGGAGCACAGGTACATTTATCAGCAGGGCTGGCCCTTCCTGACTGAGGCTATCCCATCTTTTCTGAAAATGTCTGCTTGTAGAACATTCTCTATGAGTTTCTCAAGAAACAGCCTCATGAGCTATCGTTCAACAAGAACTCCTGGCCCTAGGGACAGCTGAACTTTTCACCAGTACCCTGTGGGACTTCCCAGAAAGGTTCTTCCTCAAATATTGGAGAATTTCTCAGGGCCTCAAAGTGACTGTGGTAGGGAGATGGGACAGAGTTGGCTGGGATCTTAAGTGATGAGATTCAAATTAAAGGAAGGTTGATAAGCTAGAAATAAATAATAATGAAGCCCCAGAAGATTACACAGCAGGCTGTATTTTCAGGAGGGAACACACACATACACACAAGTTCTAGGTATGTTCCAGGACTGATGTACAAGGGCCAGAGCTTTCATTGCAGCTCAAGGTCTCTCAGCCTTGGCACTTGACTTTTGGACTGGGTTAAGTTTTGTTGTGGGACTGCCCTGTGCCTTGTAGGATGTTTTGTAGCATCCTTGGCCTCTACTCACCGAAGGCCAGTAGCACTCCCTCTGCAATCAGAATGTCTCAACCAAAAACTTCTCCAGACATTGACAAATGTTTCCTTGGGCCCATAACCATCCAACTGAGAACCACTGCTGTAGCTAAAACGGCAAGTCCTAGAGAAGTTTAAGGGCTACAGTCCATGGGGTCGCAAAGAATCAGACATGACTGAGCAACTATACACAAAGAAGTTTAAATACAAGTGCACATTGAAAACCTTGGGTTGGTTCATCATGAAACTGGGCTATCATCTGACCCTTCTGGGTCTAGACAATGATCCCTCCAAGAGCTCAGTTCTAGACAGAAGTAAAGAAGGAAGAACCTTCATGAGTATCAGTTCTGCTTGATTCAACTCAACATGTATGCTATTCATTCATTGCACAGTCATCTGTGAAACAATGACAGAAACAGTACATGTAAATGTTTAGTAGGGGCTAACTCTTAGCACTGTAGGATTTGCTAGGTCCAGTGGTATGAGAAGCTTGAACTTGGATAGATTTGCTGCGTTGCACTCCATCAAGGTTGTCAGTGTACCCCCACGGCAGCAGGCGCAGTGTCTGTTTCCCCACAACCTTACCAACACAACGGGTTACACAACTTTCTGAACTTGGTCAAGCTATATCAGAGAAAGTTTATAATTTAGTTCAGATATTTTTTTCCAGCAAAATCTATGCCAACCAAGCGAGTCAAAGCTTTGCCAAGGCCCTAGAGGTACAAAGTCCAGGCCTGTGTGGATGGTGCATGAGCAGTGCATTACAGCGCAGTGAACCCAGCTCCCACATGGGACACAACAACGGTTGTTCTTGGCTGTTCTGCCAAACCATTTCAGTGAGTCAAGAGAGATATAAATAATAAGGCCGAGACTTTTCACTCCATTCCCAGAATACACAGAGGGAGGGCTGCCAACCCTGGGTGTGGCTCTGTCCGCACTGTAGACAGCTGAGACTCCATTGAGTCTTTCATCCTGGCCTCTCATGTCTGGTCTCCTTGATTCTCTTAGGTTCACAGTGGTCTTCATTAGTTTCCAGAAAGCCATGTGAGTCTTGGTAATTTTCACAGAAACTTTTTTTGTGGAAGATTCTGGTGTCTGGGTCTCAGTGAGCTGGGGACAGGGAAGGGATGAAGTTTTCATAGATCCTTGCCTGAACCTTCTCCAGAACAAAAAGAAAAGTCATTTGTGGTCATTATTATTCAACTCATTTTGCCTCAACAAGTATTTATGAGTGCTGTCATTAAGAGAGGCCCAGGGCTGGATGAGTGAGGGTGGTCCTCAGAGAGCTCCATTTCAAATGCAGGAAGTAAATATTATATAATTACCTCTCTGGCATCAGTTTCCTCACTGTTCATCATGGCAAACAGATCAAGTACCAAGAACATAGTGTGTACACAGTCCCACACCACAACCCTATGAGGCAAGTGTTATTATCCTCGCTTTACAGATAGGGAAACTGAGGCCCAAACTGAGGAACACTGAGGCACACCAGTGTCCAAATTACAGTTCTGTACTGCTTTTCATTAGTAAAGTGGCAGACATGACTCCTCTCCTCCACCCCAGAGACTTGTAATAAATGGAAGAAAGCACATGAAGTCACTTTTCGAAACTGTTAAAAGAGTCTATAATGTAAGGTGACTTTGGAGTATCTATTACAGTCCCCTGTAATCATTTCAGCAAAACCCCACTGCATTAGGTGTTCTATTTTTAAGATGTACATAATGCTGCCTTTGAAAGATTGTCAAATGAACTTGAGAAAGACTTTCAATATTTCCTTCCTGGAGATTTCCTGGGCGTGGGTGTTCCTTTAAAATAGAAACAACCCAGATGAGGTTCACTGCCTAGAAGATGAAAGATAAAGGCCTAATGTGACTGTGGGTTTAAAATAACCAGCCATTTGCTTGGGAGGAGTTGGGAGGAGGCTTTTGCAGTGGATGGTTAAGGGAGAAGCAGAGCTATTTATTTTCTGTGCATACTTTAGTGATGGAGAGAGTCCTGGACAGAACCTGAGAAATGCCTGATGGGGAGTGCAAGAGTGTGAATTAGGAGCGATTAACTCAGGATACACCCAAAGTGGCTCACTGTTGGTCCTGGGAGGCACTCACTGGGATCCCAAGCCGACAACCACAAAAGGGATGCTGGAGAGTCCGCCCCATTTGACATTCAGAGAAATGAGTATTGGTGAGCTTGAAAGTGCTCCTTCAGCCTACTGTTCATTTCCAAGATCAGATTCCTTTGAGAAATATTCAGATGGCACCCCAGTTCCTTCGGAATGATACACTTTGACCCAAAATACCAGGTACAGAAGGTAGGGTGGTGAAGGTGAATGCTTTCCATTTATATGGTCTGTTGGTCCCCTCTGCTGAACCATTAGTTTGTTGAAATCAAGAATTATTTCTCTTATTAATCTCTGTCCCTCCAGCACCTAACATACCCACATATGGCAGATGTTTGTATCTCCTTGTATATTAACTGATCCATGACATGACAACTGAATGAATGGAGCTGAGAGTACTGTTTCAAGCTAGATTAGGAACACCTTCAAAAATTAGCCTTGGCTAGAGGATGATTTAAAGGAACACTGGGTCCTTTAATTATTTGCAGGGAGGGGGAGGACTCATCTCCTTTTTGTGGGAAGGATATCCTTCTCTTTGGTTTCCAGGGAGCTGGAAGCAAGTGAACAGAAGTAGAAAAGATTGCTGAGTTTATCTCCCTGTTGATTTGGGAAGCAGCTTCATCTATCAGGTTGATTTTAAGTGTCTGATTTGCAGATACGTTTCAGCAGTACATTCGTATCACAGTTTGAATTCATCCAGTTAGGCCCTGATACTGGCAGCTGGTGATCATGCTAACACAACAGAGGGCCAGTGCAGTCACATGGAATTCTGGACTTCTCCGACCTTAGATCCACCTCTGCAACACAAGGACAGGGTTGTCTTTCCTGCCCACCTCCCTGAGTTGCAGGCGTCCCTGAGTTACTGCATGGAAATAGATGGACGCTATGCTGTGGGGAGCTGTCGTAGTCATCTGAGTGCATCGTCAGCCTTTTTAAGCATTTTCTATCCTCTCCTATTTCTGGACTCCTGCCCAGGATGCCTTTAAATATATCAGTGGTCGATAAGGTAGCCCAGAAATTACATCCTGCATATTCTCTTTCACAGTCTTCACAGTGACTCAGAGTGCATTTGAAATTCTTTTTCATCTTCATAACTGTCATGAGATCTTTGTCCATTATTCATGTTGCTTTAAGTTCCTTCTCCCTTTTTCCTTGATCAGTCTTAGCAGTAGTTTGATGTGTCTTTTCAAAAAGCTGGCTTTCAGATGTGCTGGTCAGATCTGCCTTTTTCTATGCCATTAATTTTGTCTTTCATACTTCCTTCCTTCTACTTACTTTGGGTTTATTATGTTATCCTTTTTCTAACTTCTTAAATGTTCTGTAATAAATACACTTAAGGCTATAAATTTCCCTCTCAGTCTATGCCTTTAGCTGTATCCCAGAGTTTTGAAGTTTATCTCACTTTTTAAACCTACTTTCTTACTGTTTTCTAAATTTTTTGCATTGTCATTAGATAATGTGGTCTATAAAATGTCAACACTCTAGCTATGCTGAAATTTGCTCTGTAGCCTGCTGTGGAGTCAGTTTTTTAAAAATGTTTTCTATGTGATAGCCAAAACGTATACATTCTGTTTGGTTGTTAAAGGTTTGTTGTTGTAATTCAGTCACTAAGTCGTGTGTGACTGTTTGTGACCCCCATGGTTAAAGCTTATATATTTAAACTCTAGTTCTGGTGTTTACTGTATGACCTTGGGCAAGGTTCATCACCTTTAAAATGGTATGATTCTCGCCTCATAGAGTTGAGAGTGCACACTAAGCATTATGTAAACATTAACAGTGATTATTGTTCTTTTTTAGCTACTAGTTTCAGCTTATTAATCTTGTTCAAATCTTCCATTTCCTAGCTTATTTTGTGTACCTGATATATGAGTCTCTGAGAAGTGTGTATTAAAATCTCCCATTATAAATTTGCCTGTTCCTCCCTATATTTCTGAACATTTGCCTTCTGTTTTCAGGCTCTGTTGCTAGGTCCCTACAAGTTCATTTTTAGAGCCTTGTAGTGATGATTCATTTTACTAGGCTTCCCTGATAGCTCAGTTGGTAAAGAATCAGCCTGCATGCAGGAGACCCGGGTTCGATTCCTGGGTCGGGAAGATCCACTGGAGAAGGGATAGGCTATCCACTCCAGAATTCTTGGGTTTCCCTTCTGGCTCAGCTGGTAAAGAATCTGCCTGCCCAGACATTTGGACTCTATGGGAGAAGGCAAGGGTGGGGTGATCTGAGAGAATAGCATTGAAACATGTATATTATCAAGTATGAAACAGATCACCAGTCCAGGCTGGATGCTTGAGACAAGTGCTTAGGGCTTGTGCACTGGGATGACCCAGAGGGATGGGTTGGGGAGGGAGGTGGGAGGGGGGTTCAGGATGGGGAACACATGTAAATCCATGGCTGATTCATGTCAATGTATGGCAAAAACCACTACAATATTGTAAAGTAATTAGCCTCCAACTAATAAAAATAAAGGAAAAAAAAAACTCAACCTTCAAAAATCTAAGGGGAAAAAAAAAAAGAATCTGCCTGCAATGTGGGAGACTGGGTTCAATTCCTGGGTTGGGAAGATCCCCTGAAGAAGGGAAAGGCTACCCACTCCAGTATTCTGGCCTGGAGAATTCCATCAACTGTATAGAACATGGGGTCACAAAGATTCATTTTACTAGGGTAGAGATACTCATGTTGAACTGAGTCAATTCTTATTTATTGTGATTACTGGTACCATTAGAATTGATACATCATAAATAAGAAGAAATGGGATTTAAACATAGGCAGTTTTCTGCCAGAGCCCAAGTTTTAAACAAGGGAGGGTCTCTTGGTTGTGGTGAGTGAAGTGAGGAAGCTTGACATGTAAATATCATAGGGTAGAGCATTGCAGGCAGCAAGAACAACCAGTGCAAAGGCCCTGAGGAAAGTAGATGCTTGTTGTTTGGAGGAGGTAAGACCAAGTGTTCAGTTCTGGACATGTTACAGTTTGAGAAGCTTATTAAGCATCTGAATGATGTCTGGAGGGCAATTGGATATACAAGTCCAGGGTTTAGGGGGAAACTTGGAAATGGAGGTAAACTGTTTGTCATTAGTATCCATGGACCTAGATGAGACACTAGGGAGTAAGACAGAAAAGAGAAGTCCAAGGACTGAGGTTTAGGGCAGGAACGGAGGAGGCTTTAGCAGAGGAGACAGAGGAGTAGCTGAGAGAGAGGAGGAAACCCAGGAAAGGGGGCTGCGTGGAGGAGGAAGGAACAGATATTCCAGTTCTGCAGAAAAGTTCAATTAGCCGAAGCCCAAGGAGTGACCATTGGATTTGGCAACATGGAGGTCCTCATTGGCCTTGACATTGGTGGCCTTTCATAAACATTAGAGTACATAGAAGGCAACCAGAGCCGTTTTATTCTGTGTCAGGGAGGGAAGGGAGCCCAAGGCCCCATCTTCCAGTGTCAGCTTTGCCTCTGTTATCACCAAGGGCATCTCTCATGGTCCCTGGAGCATGGTTTGAAAACCAGAGATGTAACCAACCACTTTGTTTTACAGCTGATGAAGCTCAGGGCCAGAAAAACACAAGACTGACAGAGACACATAATTAGCAGAAAGCCCAGGTAGCAATTTATTATTATTTAATGAGATTTCTCAACAAAGAGGTCTATCCTAGCCTGCTTACACTGTTTTCTGCGGACAGTGGTTATTGTAACAAGTAGAAGAATCAAAATAAGAAAGTCTTCTTCACCTTTCTTCTCTGCTGAAAGAGGAAATAATAAAATGAACAAATTCTATTGATAGAAAATTCTGAAGCCTCCTTATTAACTCATGGTTTCCATATTGTCCTCCCACCATACCCCACTTCTCAAGGCTTCTGATAAAGTTCCATGTTTTCTGATCCTGTATTATAGGATGTAGCAGACTGCCACCTGTAATATGAGTATAATAATAATACCAGTTGCTCACCCTTATAGACCAGTGGCTGTTGCTGGCACTGTTCTCTGATTCCCACAACAGCCCCAGGGTTGCATTTCATTTCCATTCCTCTCTGATAGGAACCCTGGACAAGCTGCGTGCTTTAGTTTCTCTGTCTGTACTTTAGTTTCATCAGCTGCGTGACATGCTTGCTAGGCTGAAAAGCAGGATACAGGGATCAGGGCTGACACTGCTCCTGAGCCAGGCAGTGGGCTCAGCACTGAATCATCACAGGCCTGAGAGCTGTGAGGATTGCTGGAGGCTCTTTCTCCTCTGCTCTCTGGTTTGGTAAACCACAGGTTGGCTCCAGGAACTTTACTTTAGTCTCATCTTTCAACTGTTTTTCCCTTAGGATCCATGCTTGAGACCGAATGAACCTTCTCAGACTCTGCCCAGAGGAGAGAAATATCAAGATAAGTTAGCAGCTGAAGAAGGAACCAGCAGCGAAGAGGAGGAAAGGTACAGGAGGACAGGCAGGCTTCCGAGGGCTCCAGTGAATGAGGACTCACACTTGAAGGATTCATTCATTCATTCATTCATTCATTCTGTACCTCATATATTTATCACTGCCCCATGCATGAAGCTTAGGGAGGGAACAGAAATGTCTTGTGTGCCTTCAGCACATCTAAGGACTTTACCTGAATTATTTGTCACACCAACTCAGAGAGACCATTTTATAGATTAAGAACCTAACACTCAAAAAGGTTAATAAACTGCCCCCAAATCAGACAGATCTAGACTGGCCCAAACCTCTGCCTCCTGTTCTTCCAAGTGACAAAAACTAATACCCTGAGCAGAAGGTAATATGCTCTCCACAGGTCTTAGTTAGTTTGGGCTGCTATAACAAATTAGCATACAACAGAAGGTTATTCTCACAGTTCTGGATGCTGGGGATCAAGGTGCTGGCCCATTCAGTTCCTGGTGAGGACTCTTTTTGGTTTGCACATGGCCGTCTTCTTGTGTCCTCTCATGGAGAAGAGAGAGGCAGCAGACAGTGTAGGAGGAGGTCTCTCTTGTGTCTTTTCTTACAAAGGCACTCATCTCATCATGAGGGCTACTTTCTCATGACCTAATTACCTCCAGTGGCCTCACTTCCAAATACCATCATATTGGTGATTGAGGTTTCAACATATGAATTTGGGGAGACACAATTCAATCCACAGCATCACACAAGGCAGTTGGTATTTGCTGAGCAATAAAGATCTGTCACACTACCCCACAAGTTTCTGATACAGTAGGTCTGGGTACATCACAACCCTGTGTCTCTTGAGAAAGCTTCCCAGGTGATTCTGAGGCTCCCAGGTTATACGTCACTTCCCCACACTAATGACCAGCTGTGGGGGGTCCTGACAGATGACATGGAGTCCATGCTCCCATCTGATAGCTCTTCAGATAGTCCTGGTGAGGGCTCTCTTCCTGGTTTGCACATGGCCATCTTCTCATGTCCTCTCATGGAGAAGAGAGAGGCAGCAGACAGTGTGGGAGGAGGTCTCTCTGTGTCTCTTCTTATAAAGATACTAATCTCACCATGAGGGAGATTAGTTGTCATAGTCAATTTGGACTGCTTAGCAAAATCCCATAGATGGGGTGCCTTATGAACAACAGAAATTTATTTCTCACAGTTATGGAGGCTATAAGGTCCAAGGTCAAGGTGATGGCAGTTTCTGTGTCTGATGAGGACTCACTTTCTGGCTTATAGAAGGCATCTTTTCATTCTGTCTTCACAAGATGGAAGGGCAAGGGCCTCTTTTATAAAGGCACTAATCCCATTCATGAGGGTCTCACCTTCATGACCTAATCACCTTCCAAAGGCCTCATTTCTTATTGCCATTAGATTGGACAGTAGGCTTCAAAACATGAATTTTGAGGGGACAGAAACATTTATAAGCTAGCATTGAGGAAGCAAAGCCTACACCCCTAAATCATATCAATGGCAGTGTCAGGTACCCTATAGTCCTGTGAATTCTCTAGCTAATAATACTTGTCCAGCTCCCTCCAGATTCTGTCTTGGGATCTATGAGATGTATAACCATAGCAGTTAAAGAGCACAGACTCTGGAGTTGGGCCTCCAGACTAAATGCTGGTGCTGTCACTTACCCCTGGAAGCTACAAATCTTATTCCATTCAAAACTAACAAAGGGAAAGAAATAGTCTTTACTGTGGAAATACTGTCAGGGATTTCAAGAGGTTCCTAAGGGGCCCAGATTGGGTCATTTGTCCATCCCTGAGCCAGTCATTCTGGCCAAGGAGATATCTGGCCAGATATCTGGAGATATCTGGAGATATCTGGCTCTGTGTCAGCCCTTCCCATGGGCCAATTAAGGATGAGGGCAGAGCTAGCTGCATCTGAACCTTGTGGACTAAACAGGATCATTATGGAAAGAGAAAAGGCTTCCCTAAGGAGAAGATGCTGGGCAGACCAACAGTAGGTGGTGATCACAGCAACCTTGTCTTTTCTCCTGTGTAGCTTTGTTGTTAAGGGGGTTACTCAACCCCAAAAGAAAATGAGGAGGTGTGGGGTCTGTAGGCTTCTTTCATGGGGGTTTTAGTGAGAGTGTAAGAACTGAGAAGTAATGAGAAAGGAATAGAAAGATCTATGGTCAGAGGCTGCAGAACAGAACAGACACATTGGTTCTTTAGGGGTGAGGTTGCATATTCAGTAGTTAACCCCTTGAAGGTTGCTTGTCAGAGAACTTTTGGCATGGTGGGTTTTCCGTTGGCTGTTGATTTAAGGTGGGGGTAGCAGGTCAGGTGGGTTTCCCTGATGGCTCAGGGAAAGAATCGGCCTGCAGTGCAGGAGACCTGGGTTCAATCCCTGGGTCAGGAAAACCCTGGAGGAGGGCATGGCAACCCACTCTAGTACTCCTGCTGAGAGAATCCCATGGACAGAGGAGCCTGGCAGGCTACATTCCACAGGGTCACACAGAGTTGGACACGACTGAAGTGATTAAATAGGAGCAACAGCAGCAGGTCAGAATCAACTTCAGTGGGAGCAGGGGGAGTCAGAAGAGTCTACTGTAGCTTGCTTGTGAGAGATGGCAGGATTGGATCTGCTTTTTAGGATATGAGGATACGAGGGAATTTGACACAAGAGAATAGAGTAAGAGAGGGAAATTCTCATTCATGGTGTTCCCAGAAATGATGATGATGATGAATGTAATAATAGTAAATATTTACTGAATGCTGGATTAACCCATTTAATTTTCATTAGATACCGTTGTTGAAGCACTTCATTTTAAAGATGAGGGAAACTGAAGAACAGAGGTTAAGTGACTTCCCTTTCTACTTATTCTGCCAGTAGATGGTAGGATCCAGATGATAGCCTCTCTGGCTCCAGAACTAATGTTCTTAACTACATCTCAACAGATGTTCTTATGCCATATGAAGTTCCACAGTTTTTCTGTTTTTCTAAGGTCACTCTTTACTTTAATACTCAGTAAAATGACTGAACTTGTACTTCTAGCTGTGGCAGGGTAACTGGTACTAGACTTGCCCTCTTTCTGTAGACAACTTTAAAAGTGAGCAAAATAAATGACAACTCTTTTAGTAACAGGACACTATGCAGAGAAGGACCATGTTCTTTAGAAGAGAAACATGAATGAATCCCATAATCTCTCCACATTTTCTCCTGCCTCTCTGTCTGGGGACAGGGCCAACCACAGTGCAGAGAAGTGGAGGTAAGTTGAGCTGAGGAAGCAGACATCAGGGCTCAGGGCTGCTAGAGCAGCTGGCATTTGTAAGGTATGGTGCCAGAAGAGAAGATACTAAGTGGGGACATAAGGGGCAGAAATCTATAAAAATTTTCCATAGGTCCTTGCCGGGAGCTTGAGTTGAGACTCATGAGGCCTAGAGTATGGTGCTGCCATGGTGCTGAGAAAAACGAAGGTACTAGAGATGAGATGCTAGGAGACATTGGATTCCAAGATCAGCCACAATATAAAAAAAAAAAGCCTTTCTGAGGTCCATGAGCATTGAGTTGAGACCTCAGAAACATAACACTTTAGGAGTAAGAAACATGCCCTGTAGGATAAGGGCCACACCCTAGAACAAAGGACAGTGTTGAAATATACATGCTTTAACAAAAGACAAATCCAGGCATAAAAAGATCAGAAAGAGCCTTCAGTAATTTAACTGGCTCTCATAACAAAACTAAACACTTTTGAAAGGATTGAATAATACAGACTCCCAGTATTGTATTATCCACAGTATTGAGCATTTGATGAAAACATTATAAGACATGCAAGGAAGCAGAACAGTATGACTTATAATCAAGAAAAAAATCAGCTAATAAAGCCTTAAATGACCTAGATATTGGAATTATCAGACAAAGACTTGAAAGCAATTATATGAGCTATGTTCAGGGAAAGGATTGTTATAATGAATGAACAAATAGGGAATTTCTGCAGAGAAATGAAAACCTTGGAGCAAATGGAAATTCTAAAGCTGTAAAGTACAATATCCACAATGAAAACCTCATTAGATGTACTTAACAGCAAATTAAAATCATAGAAGAAAAGTTCGTCGTTTGAAGATAGATCAGTAGAAACTGTACTATCCAAAGAATGAGGGGGGAAATTTTTTTTAAATGAGGAGATTCTTAGTGACTTGTGGGACAATATCAAATAGTCTAACATGCATGTATTTGGAGCCCACATGTAAAAAGGCAAAGAAAATGGAGCAGGAAAAAATATTTGGAAAAAATGACCAAAAATTCCCCCAATTTGATGTGGGACACCAATTTACATATTCAAGAAGTTAGGTGAACTCCCCACAGAATAAATCTGAAGATAACAATGCCTAGATACATCATAGAAAATCTGCTGAAAACAAAATATATCCCCCCAAATCTTACAAGCAGTCAGGTTTTTAAAAAGACAAATTATATACAGGAGACAGTTGGCTTTTCATGAATACTAATGACAACTGAGTTCTCATCAACCTTCTCGGCTCATTTTCTGATGAAAGCCAGAAAACTATGAAGCATTATCATTAAGGTTATAAATGGAAAAGAAAAAAAAACCCTGTAAAATCCTAATTTTAAATCGAGTGAAAATATCCTTCAAAAATGAGAGTGAAATAGAACATTTTCAGGTATATAAAAGCTAAGAGGACTTTTCACCATTTAAGCTGCAGTATGATTAACAGCAATGGAATTTATTGAAGCTGAAAGGAAATTACAGCAAATTTAAAGTTGGATCTACAGGAGAAAACGAAGAACATCAGAAATGGTAAATGTATGCTGCTGCTGCTGCTGCTAAGTCGCTTCAGTTGTGTCTGACTCCGTGCAATGCCATAGACGGCAGCCCACTAGGCTCTGCCATCCCTGGGTTTCTCCAGGCAAGAACACTGGAGTGGGCTGCCATTTCCTTCTCCAATGAAGGAAGGTAAAAACTGAAAGTGAAGTCGCTCAGTCATGTCCAACTCTTCTCGACCCCATGGACTGCAGCCTACCAGGCTTCTCCGTCCACGGGATTTTTCAGGCAAGAGTACTGGAGTGGGGTGCCATTGCCTTCTCCAGGTAAATGTATAGGTAAATATAAAAAACTACAGCTTTTCTTTCTCTTCAGTTTCTTTAAAAGACATATAACTGCTTAATAATTAAGCAGTATATTATGAAGTTCACAATACATATAGTTGAATAATATATGACCACTAGCACAAAGAATAGCAATTAGTGAAATTATAGTATTGTAAGGGACTTATATTTTATATGAAGAGGTACAATGTTAACTCTAAGAAGGTTGTGATAGGTTAAGGATACAAGTTTTAATCCATAGAGCAACATTAAACATTAATACAAAGAAAAGCTTAAAAAATCCAATAAAAGAACTAAAATGGAATCATAAAAAATGTCAGTTAGGAAGATAGAAAAAGAACAGAAGAACAATAAGAAAAGGATTGGGCAGTTAGAAAACAAATAAGATGTGGATTTAAACCCAGTCATTTCAATACTGATATTGTAAATGAAACAGAGACATCATTTAAAAGAAAGAGATTGCCAGAGAGGATAAAAAGGCAGGACATTTACTACATGCTATCTACCAGAGAGAGATTTAAGTATAAAGACACTGTTATGGGCTGAATTGTGCTGCCCCGTGCCCCCCTCAAATTCATATGTTAAGGCCCTAATCCCCAATATGAATGCATTCAGAGATAAAGCTTTAAATAGATGATTGATTTAAATGGGGTTATTAGGGTGGCCCCCACCCAATATTTCCTTGTAAGAAGAGATCAGTGCACTGGTAAAGCAGCCAAAGGGACAATTGTGGGGACAGAGGGTGATGGAAGTTGGCTATCTGCAAGCTTCAGAAGAGAAGCCTTAGAAGAAACCAAACCTGCTGACTCCATGATCGTGGACTTCTAGCTTTCAGAATTATGAGAAAATTAATTTCTGCTTTTTAAGCCCTTCAGTTGGTGGTATTTTGTATAACACATTTTATACAGGCACAGATAGGTTGGGAGGTAAAATGATATAAATAGATATTCCATGCAAATACAAAATGTAAGGAAGCTAATGTGGCTATATTCATATCAATGTAGACTTTAGAACAAGAAGTATTACCAGTGATTAAAAAGGGATGTTTCACAACAGTAAAGTGGTCAATTCATCTGGAAGACATCACAATCCTAAATGTGTATTACCTAATAACAGAGCTTTAAATAATGAAGCAAATACTATGTGAACTAAAGGAAGAAATTTACAATCACAACTGAGATTCTGAGACCCTTTTTTGAATATTTGATTGAATGACTAGACTAATATCAGTAAGGATATAGAAGATTTGGACTACACTATTAACTAAGTCTATTTTATATCTGTAGATAATATGCTAAAAAACTACAAAATAAATTTTTTCAAGGCACTTAAAACATTCATCAATATAGACAAACTAATATTCTTCGTGAATGCAAAATCCTCAACAAAATGTTTGAAAATAAAATCAAGCAGTATATAAAAAGAATAATACATCATGACCAAGTAGAGTTTATCCCAGGAATGTGTGGTTGATTGAACATTTGAATGGCAGTCATGTAATTCATCATATTAAAATATAAAGGGAAAAAATAAATAATCATATCAATAGATGCACAAAAGCATTAGACAAAAGTTAACATTCTTTCATGATAAAACCTCTTCAATCCATGAATAGAATTTCTTCAACCTGAAAAAGATCTTGTATGATAAACATGCTTAATGGTAAAATATTGGACACATTCCTCCAAAAACTCAGAACAAAGCAATAATGCTGCTCTCACTACCTATCATTGTCTTGAAGGTCCTTCTCAGTCCTATAAAGCAAGAAAAAGAGCTACAAATTAAAAAGAAATAGTTAAAGTATTTATTTACAGACAGAATGATCATAATTGAAGTACAGCTTTAGATTCAGTTCAATCCCATGTAAAATCCCAGTAGCCCTATTTGTAGGAATAAATAAGATGTTCTAAATTTGGTTATATTTAGCATAGCTTCCAGAAGTTTGAAAATAACCTAAGAGAATTAGGATGCAAACCTAATGCAAACCTAAAAAGAAACCTTTTTACTTTATTAAACACTTGACTAATTTTTTTATTTGTATATTACAATGTGCCACAGAGTTAAGCATTTTTTAAGATATATACTCTATTAATCTTTAGAACAATCCGTGTGAAAGGTACTGTTATTAACCCCATGTTTTAGAAGAGGGAACAGCTTAAAGAGTTCAGACAAGGTAACATAACCAGTTACCAGTAGTAGAGCTAGAATTTGAATCTGGGCAATCTGGCTCTAGTGTCCATGATCTTAACAACTTTGCTACACTGCTTTTAACATCCTGCCCTTCCTTTCAGGGGTCTCCTCTGTCTATGTTGCTGGGCCTTTTCACCTCCGCCAAGTCAGAGTCCTTATCATGGTCTTTCTTCACAGTCCAGGGCCCTAACTCCCTAACCTCTGGTCCTCTGGCCTGATGTGTTTGCCAGAGAAACAAAATGTCATTGACCTCCCAGCAATCTCTGCAGAGATGCCCACGGTGTGTCATCCTTTTACACTGTTAAACAGGATAAATACTTAACTTTACAATCTCAACCCATCACATTTGAATTTATCAGCTGGTTTACAGGCTCGAAACTGAGTATAGAAAAGTCTCCTCCAAAAATATTTGTCAGCATCTCTTCTAGAATGCAGAAACTACTGCAGCTTTAAACCAGCACTGTCTTGTCCCTGCTATATACACAGAAAGGCTATTTATAATCCTCCTGTGTATACCTGGGAACAGCCAGTTAAAACAATGTGTGCTTTGAAAAGTGTAAATTACTGTATTCAAGTAGAACATAATTTTTTGTTATTTTTTTCTACATTCATGAAAAGTTGTTAAATTAGACTGCAGAGACCCCTTCTTTTGAAGCTACTAGGGACCCCATATAAGTAATCTCTCAGTCATTCTGATAACTGATCATCATTTATTAAGTACCACTGAAACAGATATCCAGTGATTCCAGCTGAATATTGACAGTCTCCCAAGTGCAACAGCAGTTAGAATTGTATGTCAAATGACTTTTTCAAATCCAAGAGATGTCTGTCATTCCATCACTGCCATTGGCGCTCCCTCCTCCCAGCCCATACCCAAGTGGCTGGGATGTTAGCAGGGTGACGATGTCATTTCCAAGCTGGGATCTTTTGTGATTTTGGCCTCTGTATCTTCAAAGGATCGAAGTGCCCATCAAGGAGGGAGGTGACCTGCAGCCTCCATTGGGCTCTTTGCCAAAGGAGAAGGCACCAGAAATCCAGCGTCTGCAGGAGGAGTGGCAGAGCCAGAAGGCCAGATTGCAAGCCCAGGTAGAAGGATGACCTTGGTGGGGATGCACCCTCATGCTGAGTGAGACCCTGCCTCTCCCTTATTCTTGCAGACAGCCTTGGAAATGCATGTGGGGCCCAATTCTTGTCCAAGCTGGGGAGGGCAGTCCAGGTCCAGGGCAAGGTGGGCTTCTTGGTTCTGTTCATGTATTCATTTAACACCTGCTGTGGCTCATGAGACCTGCTATGAGCCAGGAACTCTTCTAGGTGCTTGTATATTATCAGTGAACAAACCAGACAAAAGTCCTGCATTACAGGGCTTGTATTTTAGCAGAGGAGGTGGACACTGACAATAAACACTAGACATAAAAAATAAGCACTTATAATATTAGAAGATGTTAAGGGCGTTAGTAAAACGAAAAGACTGAGCAGGATAAAGAAGATTGAGTGGCTGTCTGGTGATGAGGGGTGGGTATAATACCAATTAGGACTGTCAGGGAAAGCTTCCATAAGAAAGGGAGATTTGGGCATGTGGGGCACGCAAGGGAGGCTGCTGTATAGATCTCTGGAGGGCTTTCTGGTCCCCTCTTGATTTCTCTTGGATGGCACACATCCCAGCCCTTCTCCTCCGTTCCCTGGTATCCATGGCTCTAGCTGAGGAGCCCCTGGGAGGGCCAGCTGTTCCCAGGTCCTTCAAGCTTGCATCTTCTACCCGCCTCAGCATTCCCGTGCGTAGAGGAGGCTCAGGTGGGCTGTGGAGACATCAGAAAGCTTTGATGTTTAAAGAAAACCCCAGGGAGGGCGAGGGTCCCAGCCTGAGGTTGGATGCCCTGGTGGGCAGGTCTCGCAGATGCAGCAGGCCTTGGAGCAGTGCGCCACAAGCTACAGGGAGGACCTGCGAGAGCTCAAGCAGCTTTCGGACCACGAGCGGGAGCAGCTGCGGCATGAGCTCCAGGAGACCGTCCAGCAGAGTCAGGCAGCCAAAGCCCAGCTTGAGGCTGCCCACAAGCGAGCTCTCTGCATGCTTGAGAAGGCTAAAGACCAGGAAGTCAAGGTAAAGGTGTTAACGATGACGTCCACTAACTACTACTGAGCTCTTGTTGTGCGAGCTGCTCAGCGCTTTGGGGGGAGCCTGTTGTACAATATCTCCAGTCCCCATATTCATCCTACAAGGTCATTATTATCATATTCCCTTTTTCTGGATGAGGAAAGAGGCTCAGAGAGGTTTGGCATCCTGCTCAGGGTCACGTAGCTAGTAAGAGGCAAGACAAGGATTCAGACAGACTCAGGTCTGTTGAACTTCTGGGCATTTGCACATGACTTTTATATCATAAGACCGACTTCTCTCTCATGACTTGGGCAATATCCTGCAAAAGAAATTCTAAGGGAATTCTGAGAGAAATTCTAAGGGAATTCAAAAGAAATTCTAAGGGGAAAATTGAGACCAGACTCAAAGTACTTGAATTCAAATGTCATCAAACGTCTCAGCAGCAACAGGCAAGCTAGAAGATAATGAAGCAATTCTGAGAAATTCGATTAAAACCATTAATAAGGGTGAGAACTGAATAAAAATATCAGACACATGAAATATTAGGAAAATTACCTTCTGTTATCAGTTTATGCCTCTCAGTTCTCGATTTACCCTTCAATACCTGCTTGTGATAATGATCTGTATTCTCTAGGCATTTCTCCTCCTTTGCGAGCACAGTGTTAAGCTTTGTCAGTAGAGGGCGCTGGAGGCACCTTGCAGGAGGAAGGAGGCTTCCCTTCCTGGTTCTGGAAGCTGCATGTTTGCTCTATTTCTGGCTTCCACTGCACACCTGGACAGTGTCCTGGGTGTGTGAGGACGCAGAATGAGTCTCTGCCCCAGTGACCTCACAGTAATCTCACAGCTCTGGTCCAGACCCAGTTGTGATGTGGACACAGACTCCATCCTTGCACTTGCTGACCCTGCCTCTCTCTGAGTTCCTATCCATTGACTGCTGTTGCCTGTACCCCAGAGGTTTGTTTCTTGCAAGCCTCACAGAGCAAACACTCTCTGCTCGGGCAGCCCTCACAGCTGCCCTGACGCCCCATTCCCTCTGGGCCCCTGCCCACCTTGGTTCACCTGCACAGGTGGAGGGTTGCTCCTGCTTGACTCTGGCCTGGGCAATCCAGCCATCGCCATCAGTGAACTGCCACCAACCTTCTCCAACACGGTCTGGATCCCAGGCTGGGGAAGGGCTCCCCATTCCAAGCTTTCCCTTTCTCGGACGGCCTCACTCAGCCTCAGAATACCCTTCAGAGTTCTTTTTGCATCTTCCATACACTTTTCCTCAGGAAGTTCCTTGAGGAATATCCCACCAAAACAAAGGAACAAACCAAAAAAAAGAGGGAATAAAAGAGATCTAGCATACAGGGAATCTAGCACAGGAGAAAGGTTTCCGGAGCCGCTGTGCCACTAACAGAGCCTAGACTGGAGTCTAGACTGGAGCACGAGGATGGAGGGCTCCAGAAGAGATGCCTCCGTGGAAAAATAGGCTTGATGGCTTCTCTGATCCATTTGGCCATGTGCAAAATTGTAGTGAATGTATTTTACAAAGCTTTTAGAGATTGTAGGAAGACTTGGCCAAAAAAATCCAAAAAATAATAATAAAATACAGTAGTTATTAATGCAAGGAGAAACAAAACTTTGGATAAGGTAGCTTATTTATTTACGGCTGTGCTGGGTCTTGGTTGGTGCATGTGGGCCTTCTCTAGTTGCAGTGGGGGCTACTCTCTAGTTGTGGTGCACAGACTTCTCATTGCAGTTACTTCTCTTGTTGCCAAGCACAGGCTCTAGAGTACACAGCCTTCAGTAGTTGTGGCACAAGTGATTAGTTGCCCTGAGGGATGTGGAATCCCTTCCCGGACCAGGGATTGAGCCCAGATCCCCTGCATTGGCAGGTAGATTCCCAACCACTGGATCACCAGGGAAATCCAAGGTAGATTTTAATATTTATAATTTATTTAGCTCAGCAGTAAATGGCATTTACTCACAAGAAGGAAATATTGAATATACTTCACTGTATTTAAAAATATATATAACAATATTTAAGGAATGGAAGAGAAAGAATGTATGAGACAAAATCCTCATCTACCATAATAGAAAGAAAATTCATTTCTCAAATAATCAAGTTAAAGCAGAATGGAGATACTGTCTTATTATTGGTGGTAAATATGGGAAGAAAGAACTAAAAAAGTTCCAATGGCTGCCTCCAGTAGATAGGATGCAGAGAGAAGAAGAAAGAGGTGGGAGGCACTAGTTTTCATTTTTAAAAAGCAGTATTTGGCTCTTTATACTGTGTTCATGCATTGCCCAGATAAAAATACAAAATAAGCTTTTAGAAAAAAGAGAAAAGAAATGAAATCATACATGTGGACTGCTTGACACTTAGTAGGTGTCCAGAATTTGTGAATTCCTTTTCTTCTTTTATTCTCTTAAATCTTTTACCAGCTTTGCTTTCAGTCTACAAGAGTTAAGACTGCCAAGTTCCCCAGGTTATTCACTGCTGGGTCATGCTGGCCTTTGCGTTGGCTTGAGCTTTACCCCTCCAGGCTATAGGCCTCAATCCCTTGCAGGAGGTAGAGGAAGCATAGAGGCGGGTGATGGGAGAGGGGGAGTGTGCTCTGCCCATTGGGATGACCTACAGTTCTAAGCCCCAGTCCCTAGCAGCCATGGAACCAGATTCATGGGGTCTTCATTACTGGCTTCTGTCTACTTGGGGTGGTTCCAGAATGAGACCAAAGTGTCTGCAATTCTCATTGGAGATGGTAGAAATATGATCATTCCTAATACAGGACAGTGATTGAGAGTGAGATGCCTGGGTTCAAATCCTGGGTCTGCCACCTACAAGGAAAGGGAGCTTAGGCTTCCTTGTGTCTCATGTTCCCCATTCACAAAGTGAGGCTAGTCATATGTACTGTACAGAACCACTGAGCGCATCAAAAGAGAGAATCCATGAGAAGTGCTTAAAGCAATACATGACTAACAGATTGTCTTAGTCCAGTCAGGCTTCTTTAACAGAGTAACATAGGCTGAGTGACTTATTAACAACAGAAATTTATTTCCCACAGTTCTAGAGGCTGGAAGTCCACGTCTAAGACTTGGACAGATTTGGGGTCTGTTGAGGCCACTTCCTGGCTCATAGATGGCCATCTTCTCACTCTAAGCTTACATGGCAGAAGAGGAAGGGAGCTCTTTCTGGAGTCTCTTGTATAAGGGCACTAATTCCATTCATGAGGACTCCACCATCACAACTTCAGTGCCTCCCAGGGGCCCCACCTCCTAATTCCATCATATTGGGGAACAGGTTTCAACATATGAATTTTGAGAGTGAAGGGATACAAACATTCTGTCCATAGAAGAGCTCAGTTTTAAGAAGACCCACTCTTATCACTCACTCATTGATTCTGCAGGTATTTATTGAGCATTTATCTTGAGCTACCATCGTGCTGAGCTTTGGAGATTCCAAGATGATTAGCACAGTCTACCTTCATGGAGCTCACCTCTAGGGGGAAAGACAGCCACTTGAACAGGTTGCTCTAATTCAGTAAGTTGGAGCCATGAGATAATCACCCACAGTATTTTGGGAGCACAGAGAAAGAAGACTCTATATAGGATGGAGCATGGAGACTTGGGGGGTGAAGCTGGGTCCCTTAGGAGGCCCCAAACCAGTCACAAGAGCGAGGCAAACAAGAAAAAATGAATGTCTTAGTCACTCAGTCATGTCTGACTCTGCAACCCCATAGACTGTAACCCACCAGGTTCCTCTGTCCATGGGATTCTCCAGGCAAGAATACTGAAATGAGTAGCCATTCCCTTCTCCAGGGGATCTTCCTGACACAGGGATTGAACCTGGGTCTCCTGCATTGCAAGCAGATTCTTTACTGTCTGAACCACCAGAGAAGCCCCAAGGCAAACAAAAAGCTGGAGCAATTTGCCAGGGATGAGTGTCTGGCTTGATATAAAATCTGGCCACTAAACCTTGCACAGTCCTCACTGCCAAGGACTTCTGAGCCAGAAGGCAGGCAAGGCTGACCTAAAAAGAGATTGGCTCCATCTTTTGCAAACCTTTACTTCAATCTCTCCATTCACATTTCCTTGGGATTAAAATGTCACCAGTTGGAGTGCTCTGAGACTTGCAGCAAGTGCAAGAAAAAGTATCAGAGAGTTTGAAAAGTACAGGACTTTTCTGTCTAGATAAACTCACCAGGGGATGACTGAGTTTCCCATGAGAGGAATAAGACTGTTTCTCCCCATTTGCTGGGGAGTAGCAAAGCAAAGAAGCCGCTGCCTTCTGGTAGCTGCCTCGTCTGCTCTTTCCTAAGGGGAGCCTCATGCATTTGATGCAGTCCAATTTCTCATTGTTCCTGGAGGTTGCTTGAGGGAGTGGGAAGGGCTTGGGCCCTGGATACCATCACCCATGGGTTACAATCCTGCACCCACCATTACTGGTTTTCAGTTAGGGCACTTTACTTTTCTGAGCTTGTTTCCTCCTAGTCCTGTATCTTTTCTCTGTGACCTTGGGAAAGCTAATTCACCTCTCTCAGCCTCAGTTTGCTCACCTGAAATGTGGGATGTGTTAACTGGAACTCTTTGTTGTAAAAGTAATGTAAACTGTTAGTTTCTTATTGCTGTTGTAGCAAAATTACCATAAACTTGGTGGCTGAGCACAACACAGATTTATTATCTGACAGTGCTGGAAGTCAGAAGTCCTAAAATCAAGGTGTTGACAGGTGTCCCTTCTAAAGGCCCTAGAGAAGAACCTGTTTTCTTGCTTTTCCTAGTTAGTGTCTGTCTCTTTCTGCTCTCTCCCCCACCTCCTAACACCAAATTCCCAAGGATTGCTCCAGTTTGGAACAGCTTTCCACTCTGGTCCAGTCAGCTGTGAACCAGTTAGGTTCACATAGCACAAAACGGCTGCTGTGGCCAGGTCATTACTGTCCTTCCAGATGAGTAGGGGAACATTCACAGTAGCCTGATAAGCCCTCCACTGGGGGGTGGCAAGTGCTCAGGGAGCCCCCAACAATGAGGAAGAGCTAGGCAAAAGGGACAGGTCTCCCCTCTGTGCCTGCTTTCATGCCTCCTTCCTCCCACTTGTGCCCACAGGCCACAGAAGAACGCTTGAAGAAGGAATCCAGCCACAGCCTCCAGATCCAGCACCAGACGCACCGGCTAGAGATGCAGGCCTTGGAGGAAAAGGCCCGGCAAGAGCTCCAAGGGGAGTTAGAGAGGATGCAGGCTCAGCAGGCACTGCTCTTAGGTATGCAGTCAGCTGTGCACCCATCAGGGCTTGGGGCAGCGGGGTGGGGGGTGGTAAGGACCAGGGCGACTCTCCTGGCTCTGCCACCAACCAGCTGCAAGATGGGCATCAGGTCGCATGCAGCCTCATTTTCCTTTTCTATGAAGTGAAGTTGCACTTGTCTCTCCGTCATAGAAGCGTTGTATGGATTTGATGAGATATTAAATATAAAATGCCCTTAGCATATAAATGAGCCCAGCTAGTGCAGATAATATTGTCATCATTATCTTCATCATCATTACTGAGCATTAGCCAGATCTCAGCCTTCGTGAGAGTTTCATGAGATGGCCTCAAACTCTCATTTCTAAAGATTTCTGTAAATGTGGGGACTTAAGCCCCCAGGATTCTGGCTGTGCCTCTGCTTCTTCCCCTGCCTTCACATTCTCAGCGGGAAGCTCATTTCCTCTTCAGTTTTCACAGAAAAAAAAAGCACAAAGTCACACAAAGCATTCTGGAAGTTTCCAAAGGCAATAAAGATCTCCAAAATCAAATTGCCTGGGCATGAGGCCCAACTCCATTCAATGTGCACTAGCTGTGTGACCTCAGGTGAGTTGCTTGACTGCTCTGTGACTCATTTGCTCATCTGTAAAATAATAATAGTATCCCCTTCATTAGGCTGTTATTACAATTACATGAGTCTATACATGGGACGTGCTTAGCATAGCACCTGGTAAATGCTGTGTAAATGTTCACTGTCATTACTGCTGAATATTCCACCTTTGCATGGCTGACTCTGTCTGTTTTGGTAGATCATCTCTCTCCCTCATTTTCTCCTTTACTCTCATCTTCTTTCTCACTCTTAAGAGCAAGACAAATGCCCTCCTTATTTCATGTCTAGCATTAAAGACCATATAGACCTTTTAAAATATTTCTTCAAACCCAGACAGTGCTCTCCTTAAGAGAATTTTCAGAAGAATATTTTCTTTACCTCCATAAGTGAATAAGATCTACTTGCTGTTTGATTTCATTAGACAGTATGACCTGCTCACTGCATGTCAGCACATCAGCCCTGCATGTTTCCAGATGAAGGAGAGAAACAGTCCCACAGATTTCCCAGTTAGCAGCTACCCTGGAATGGGGGTGGCCACGTGGGAAATGCCAAAGTTTCGGCATCTTAAGAAGACACATTATACAAGTTAAAACCCAGGTTGTACCACACTTCCCAGAAACCAGACTCCCCAGACTGAGATCAGGCTGGACACCCCTGATGAGTCTAAAACCCCACAGCAACCATCCTTGCTGCCCTGTCCCTGACTTCTCTGACCCCACAGCAGCCTGGCCCTTACTTGGATGAAAGATTCCAGAGAGACCCTGAGGATAGACTGGCATGCTCAGCACAAGTCCCAGGAAGAAGGGGTTTTGTGGACTCTGTAATGATGATAGCAAATCATGGGCTTTGTGGGTGGCATTGGGTGGATGGGAGCACAGACCACCACAGTATGATACTAGGACTTCCTGGTCCAAGTTACTCCTTTTCCATCATCTGTGTGAGACAGACCTGACATGCAGCATAGGTCACTGTGTGAGGAGCAGGAAGGGTGAGTGTCCACTAGATTACCTGACATACTGGGGTGGGTACCTGGACATGCTGGATGAATAGGTGGATGGGCAGGTGGATGGATGGGGGTGTGGATGGGTAAATGAATGGATGGTGAGAAAATATGAGAGAAGAGGGGCAGGTAATGAATGAACCCTCTGTAGTTCATGCTTTGCTAGAGGGTTTTATTACACATATTTTTGTGATAAAGAATTTCAAAAATTGGATTGTGTTTAAGCTATAAAAATCACTTTATTAAAATCCTAGAGGAGAAGGAAGATGATGATGAGATAAATTTTTCAACATAATAGCATCAGAATAATTAAACTTTTATATGTGTTTAAATACTGTCCTTTCAGGGAAGCATAGTAAACTTGTGGGAAATCTTTTACAACTGGGACACTTTCACAATATCACTAATTTTCGCACTGAACATCTTTCATTTATTTTACAAATATATGTTGAGCACTTGCACTATACTAAGTCCTGTACTATGTATCTTATGGCCTCTGGGATTATCAGAGCAATGTTTCAAAAGTAATTTGCAATAACTAAAGTATAAAGTCTCAAAAGTCCATAAAGGAAAATAAAGTATCAAATTTACTAGCACTTGAAAATCATATTCTCTTTAAAAATTAATAGCTCACTGAATACTGTCTACTCCATCAGAAAATGTTCTTTTTGAACTGATTATTTTATTTGCCTTTTGATCATGCTGGGAAGTGTCACACTATCAGAAATCACCCACAATCCTCAGAGGAGAAGTTGTACTTCCTGGTTGTACTGGTCCCTGAGTCAAGGAGGGCATGTACATTTCTTCTGGAAGATTCTGGTTTTCATAATGACTCTGTTGGGATGATATGCCATCCCCTCCCTGCTGTCCACAATCCAGCTAGGAACTTATATCCATGAGGAGTAGAACCTGATTGTCTGTCTCCTTGAGAATTAGCATAAATGTATGTCACCATTTCCAATTTGAGACCTGTACTTCAAGAAGAGGCCACTGGGGTCATGTGCTAATTCTCTGTTCTTAATTTTCTGTCTTGTTGCTGAGGCCAAGTGTTGCCTCAGGGTTCAGCTCTGGATTCAGGCTGTCCCACCCCCTATCCTAACCAACCAGCAATGGTTAAGCAGATGATTCTGAGGGAAGAAGAACCATGGAAAGTGTTGAATCCTGACACTATGACTTATTAGCAGAATAGCTCTGGGCTGCCGAGCCTCTCTGAGGCTCTATTCCTTCGTCATAAAGTGGGAGGGATAATACTGGATAGGATGGTTGTAGGGTTTCACTGAAAACACTTTTTAAGGGCTTAACATATTTAGTACTCTATAAATGGTATTATTGTTGCTGTGTTCTCTTGAAATAGGTAAGTTTGGGGAACTTGAACCAACACCTACAGCTGCTCGCCACCCTAGCCCACCCCAGACTTTGGCCTCAGCACGCCCCTGACCACTGACCCACACCACTGCTCTTCCTTTTGCAGAGTCCCTGAGGCAGGAGCTGGCAGAGCAGCGGGCTGCCTGCTCTGAGCACCAGAAGGACTTGGAGGTTCTGCAGACCGAGCTGAGGGCCCTGGAGAGCATGGGCAGACGGCAGGCCATCACCCAGTGTCCAGGGGACAGCGAGGACCGTGCTGGGACTTCAGAGGTCAGCACCCCTGCCCTGCCCACACCCTTCTTGGAGCAGCATCAGGGAGAGGTTCCAAGTGCTCTTTTACCCCCTGTCCTTCCACAGGCCTGGGGGATACTTGATGAGCCTGCAGACTCCATCTCTGTAAAGCAAAAAAAAGTTTTAAGTACAGCCTGTTATTTTAAATTCAGATGAAATAGCATCTCAGAGTGTTGGTGACAGACAGGCCCTAGAGATAGCCCATCTGAGTCACTCCATGGACCTGCACAGAATTTCTCAGAACACCTCCCCAAACAGACTCCTGCCTCGATGGCCCTGTTCCCATGAGTAGAGGCTGCCTTCCTGTCACCGAAGCTCTGAACTTTCTGGTCAGACTTGGCCCATCATTTTCCTCCTTGCCCATCCATAATTCCTACCTTGCTGGGTAGCACAGGGACCCCCTCACAAGCAAGACGTCTCTCCCCAGCCCACCACAGTGGACCTCAGGTATCCATCTAAGGCACCTCTGTGTAAAGCCTTCAGGCTCCCTGCTGCTATCAGAATAAGCTCCCAGCGCCCATTCTGGTGTTGAAAAGCCTTCACCCACTGGCTGTGTTTCCCTCTCTGCTCTAAACGTGGCCTCTGCCTCCTGCCTCAGGGCCTCTGCATGTGCCCTGCCCCCTGCCTGGGACCCCTCCTCCCTTTTCAGTGCCCAGCTGATCCTTCCAGGCTGGGGGTCTCCCATCCAAACCCATGACTTCTCCGCACCCTCTGAGCGCCTGGAGCACTTCCAGGCTACAGCTCAGCTGGCACCCGCATCTACTGCCTGTCCTGTTAGGGACCCATCACTACATGGATATCCTTGTTTCCTCGACCAGACTACAAGTCCTTTAAGAACAAGCCATGTCTGCTCCATCTCAGTCCACCCAGCCCCAGCACTTGGCACACAGTTCTGCACATAGTAGAGTCTCCACCAGGGTACACAAATGGCCATAATTAGTTGGTGTCCCAGCCCTGCTGAAGATCGGAGGAACGTGGGGATCATTCATTCCAGATGTTGCTGGTACTGAGAACCTGTACACAATTTCTGTGTTGAATGAGAATTATCAACAACTGATATATCACAGAGAGTTCAGCTCAGTTGGTAAAGTCTAGCAGAGGGAAAACAACATGATCCGTTAAATGTTCTAGATTGGTGGGAGCCACCTGGACCTATGGTAGGGGACACGGGAAGTGTAGGATGGTGACAGCTGGTGGCTGGAGGGTTCAGTGACAGGCCCACTGCAGTGAATGACAGGCTTTCCTGAGGGCTATGGATAGAGACTCAGGCTGGGTAGATGAGACAGTAGCTGGTCATCAGTGTGCCGGCCTCACCTACATCTCACTGGAGGGAAGCCCTGAACCCTCAGGGAGAAACAGCAGACCCTGGGTGATCTCCCACACAGAGAAGAAGTGTATTCATAAGAAGGGACAACTTCAGGCAGCAGGAATGAAGGGGCGGCAGTTGGGGGGGCAGGCAGAATATAAGGATGCAGTCTCAAGGTGGCTGCCACTGCAAGTAAGTGGTGTTCCATCCACTGGGGTCTTCTGAGAGCCCAATGAAATAATTCTCAAATCTGTCCCAGCCAAGGACAGAGAGGGATGGACTTACCCGTCAACTTCTCTCTCCCTCTAGTCAAGGGTGGCCCCACAGAACCTTAACTGAGCCCTTCTGGGTCATGCAGATGTGAGTGCCAGGTAGTGCCAATGAGCGTCCCACACCATGTGCACCCCAGGGCTGGAAGCAAGAAGTATGAGGCCTGGGCCACACATACCCCCTCTGCAATGCTGTTCGGTCTTTGTGTGGCAGGAACAGGGGCACAAACCTTCAGGCATGTTTGCGTGGCCTTGAAAACTGCTACATTCACCAATTGGAGATTAACTGTGCCCCCATTTAATGTTGGACATAGATCCTTATATTTCTGTCTGAACCTTGGCATTTCAAGCATCATTTCACAACAGGGATTCATTAGGCACCTACTGAATCCCAGATTCTGTGCTAGGTGGTATAGAATTGGGAAGATTGAAGTGGAGATGGCTCCTTCCTTTTCTCCACCTGCTGGTCTGATAGAGAAAAACAGCACTTCAGCAAATCAGTGCACTTCTATGTAACCTCTACACAGATGGGATCTGTCTCTCAGAGAAAAGAAAGCGTGTTGCCTCTCCCCCAAGGAGATAAGAAGGTATCACCAAGGCAGGAATGATTGGGTGTGGAGGGCACCCTAGGTAAAGAGACGGCCGAGGGCAAGTGTGGGGCAGTGGATTATAATTGTGGTGGCCTCAGAATCACCTGGGAAGCTTTCTCAGAAGACACAGGGCTGAGATGTATAGACTCACTGTTCCAGAATCTTGGGAGGAGGTGTGATAGATCGTTATTGTTCAGCAAATATTCACTCTCCCCTTCCTCCGCCCTCTGTGGTCTTGCCCAAATTTACATGTTGAAGCCCTAATCACCAGTATGATGGAATTTGGAAATGAAACCTTCGGGGGATAATTAGTGAATTCGTGTCCTTACAAGAAGAGACAGGAGACATCCCCCCCGCGCCCCCCCTCCAACACATAGACTCCATAGAGGTGGAGTGTTGGGCTTGTTTTGATTTAAGCCACATTCTTGGCTCACCAGCATCATTCGACTTTTCGAGAGCCAAATTTGGCCAACTCTCAAAGCTGAAAACTTAAAGAGGTTAGACATGAGCTCCTGAATCAAGTGCGGAATTTGGGCTCCAGGCTGGGTCTTTGCCGCGGTACATCTGTGGCCCTTGTCTGCCATTGAGCCTCCTGCAATCGGTTCTTCTGGCTGCTTTCTCCCCAGGAGGAGGGCGGCCCGGGCCAGGCGGGCTCCCCCAAAGGCAAGAGCGCAGCGGAGCTGCAGCCCAGCGAGGGATGCGGCCTCCGGGAGGAGAACTCGCAGCTCAAGGAGGCAGTGAGGCGGCTGCAGGCCGAGGTGGAACAGCACCAGCAGGAGGCGCTGCAGCTCCGCGACCAGCGCAGGTCGGTCTGAGGCTCTCCGCTTCCCTCCCTCCCTCTCTCCCTCCTCTGCCCCTTCGCGAGCCTCTGGGATATAAGATTAGGTTCCGCCTTCGGCATCTTCCCAACGAAAAGACTCCCTAGTACGCCGGGACTTCACTGGTGTTACTCCTTTGACCCCTGGAAGGTATCAGTGGTCTAGGAATTCTAGATCTCAAAACTGCAGAGGATAAGCCCTGAAGTAGACGGCGGGGTCGATGCTGGATTTACCCTATTTCCCTACAAATCAGGAAATTTATGGAGTCAAACTTAATAATACCAAAAATAGGCTTAAAACCAGCCTTAGGGAAACGGTGCAGTGGCGTAGTTTAAAAGACAGTGCTGTGGTCCTATTAATAGCTGTGTGACCTGGGCAAGTCTGCTAACCTCTCCTACCTAACTGTAGGAAAGACTACCTCTCTTGGGCTATTGTAGATGCAGTGAAACATATAGGAAGGTGCTTACCATGGACTGACCCTGGTACTTGGTAAATTGTAGTGATAACTATGATTTTCTTATCTAGGTTGGATAGTCCTTTTTCCATCCTGAATTCACAGCCTTTTTTCACCTTGATGGAGAGTTTATAACTACAACTTTAATTTTGTTAATGGATATGGGACTTTTCAGGTTATCCATTTCTTCCTGAGCAAGCTTTGGTAATTTGTATCTTTGAAGGCACTTATCCATTTCATCCCAGTGTTTGAATGTCCCAGTTCCCAGCATAAAGTGCAAGTGAAAGTAGGCCTGAGCTCGTCTGAGGAACAGCCATGAACCCACCTGGCCAAGGTGGAGCGACTTAAATTCAGTTAGGGACTCACCATGTAACACTGGGATAAGGACCCTGGACCAGAGTAGGGGTTCCTAATCATTTCCGGTTACAGCTTCCTCCAGATGAGGAAAGCAACAGTCCCTCTCCTGGAGAAGGGTATCATCACACAAAAATATGCATGTACTCTTGGAGGGTGTCAGGCCCTTCAGTCTGGTCTGCGGATCCCTTCATGCCCCATCCCAAGGTTAAGAAAAGTGAAGAAAAGCTGATGGTCGAATATATACTTTGTGCCACGGGCTGTCCTGGACATGGATTAACATGGTTCATCCTTGCAATAGCCCTACAAGGTAGCCCCTATTGTCAATCACGTGGGGAAACTGAGCCAAGCCTAGCTTGCCCAAGGTCACACAACTCGGAAGTGATGGGGGAGGTCATGGATGGACACTGGTAGCCTAAATGCTGTCCTCCTAGCCCCTCTCACACCCTGCCTTTCCAGACTGGACTGCAGGTCTTCCAGCTCTCAGAGTCCCAGCAGTCGACAATTCTGATAAAGAATCTCAGCCTCCAGGCCTCCCCACCTGCTTCAAGTGAAAAGAGTATTTTCTGGGACTCCTTTCCTGAGCTGTCCTCCCACCTTTCCCCTTGAAGGCTGCCCTTTGTGCTCAGGTCCTTCATGGAATGCTGGGGTGGAGGATGCTGAGAAGGTGTCCCATGAGATGGGTTTATCCTGGTCCCAAAACTCAGAGAACCCAGGTCTCCTTCCCACCATGTCCTGACCTCAGATTCTGCAGGCCACCCAGCAGAGTGGGGAGAAACTCCAGTCCCCTAGAAGTTCAGTTGCTAGAGCCTGGGCAAGCCCAGCTGTGCTTCTCCTCCCGCCACCCCCCACCTCTATCCCTCCAGGCTGCTGGAGGAGGATCAGCAAGCCCAGCGGGCCCGGGAGGTGGAGATGCTGCGCCAGGAACACCGGAAGGAGATGCAGGCCATGGTGGCTGATTTCAGCAGTGCTCAAGCCCGGCTCCAGGCCCGGCTGGCTGCCCTGGAAACTGAGTAAGTGAGGCTTTGGCCCCAGGCTGGGAGGGACTTGTAGATGTACCATTTTGTTAGGGGGACCAACTCATCCCAGTGTCCCTGGGACTCTCCTAGTTTTAAAACTAGAAGTCCTGAGTTCCAGAAGCTCCTCAGTTCCAGGCAAACTGGGAAGGTTGGTCACCCATCCTTTTAGGAGAGATAACATTCCTATCTCATGCAGGGCACCGTTAATCTGTGAGGAATGAGCACGGTTTAACCCTCACACTTGGAAGAAATCAGAAGGATCAAGGCTGCTTTTTTTATGAGCATTTCCCCCTCTAATATGCATCATCTCATTTAATCCTCACAGAAGTTCTTTTTTAAAATTTATTCATTTATTTTAATTGGAGGCTAATTACTTTACAATATTGTATTGGTTTTGCCACACATTGACATGAATCAGCCATGGGTGTACATGTGTTCCCCATCCTGAACCCCCCTCCCACCTCCCTCCCCATCCCATCCCTCAGGGTCATCCCAGTGCACCAGCCCTGAGCACCCTGTCTCATGCATTGAACCCGGGCTAGTGATCTATTTCACATATGATATATACATGTTTCAATGCTATTCTCTCAAATCATCCCACCCTTGCCTTCTCCCACAGAGTCCAAAAGTCTGTTCTTTACATCTGTGTCTCTTTTGCTGTCACAGCAGTTCTTAAAGGTAGAAGCTTATTCCCATGGACAGATTAAGAAACCAGGAGCCCTTCTTGCAAACATTCATTTATTCATTCAACAAATATTTGTTAAGAGCCTTCTGTGTGCCTTGCACTGTTTTAGGTTCTGGGGTTACAGTGGGAATAAAACAAAAACTGTGCTCTCATAGCACTCACAAATTCTAGATGGAGATTCTGACAAAGAGTAAGCACACAAATGTTAAACTTCATAACAGATAGTGAAGATGCTATAAGGAAAACAGGATCAATATCTGGAGTGCCAAGGGTGGGCATGGAGGTGACATTTAAGCATAGGGAGGCATGGAAATGAGAGCGACATTTGGACAAAGAGCTTTCCAATCAGACAGAACAGCAAGTGCAAAGGCCCTGGGGCCTGCCTCCCAAGACCAAACAGCCAGAAGGCTTAAGTGGAATGAATGAGAGAGCGATGGTAGGAACTGAGCTTGGCAGAATAGCTGGGAGGGCTAGAGAAGATGCCTCACTGAGAAGGGGTTTGCGTGTATTTGTGTGGAGTGAATGGGGAAGCCCTTGCTTCAGAAGCAAGGGCTTCTGATTCACCTTTTAACAGGGTCATTTCTGACTGCTGAGAGGAGAAGAGACTGGGGGATCAGGGTTAGTGACAAGGTGACCAGGTCAAGCAGCACTAAGTAACTTTACATGTCACCTGTCTTACCCTTAACTTGTGCTTTTAAAAACTGTCCCCAACTGTCTCCAATATAAAGCAAATCATCCAAAATCTGAAGTAGGTTTTACCGTCTACCATCTAGTGGGTTCTTACCATGTGCCAGGCACATTATCTCATTGAATCCTTACAACCATCCAGTTTCACGCCCATTTTAAAGAAGGAACTGAGGGTTATGGGCAAAATACCCATTACACAGCTAGAAAAAAGCAGAGCTGGGTTAAGAGTCCAGGTCCTCTCACCCCAAAACCCTGGCCTCTTATCAACTAATCAGTGGACCACCTGCAGCCCCCCTCCCTCCACCACCATCCAGAGGTTATGTCTCTTCAGCTTCACATTGAAAGGGCTGTGGGTACCTGCTACCCCCCATTTTGCAGAACTAGCTCATGCCATGCTCTCTGGCCGCCAGGAGATGGCAATGGAACCACATCTGTATTAGCACAACCTGCTGTCCTTGCTAGCAGTGGGGACATTTGCCAGCCAAGGCCACTTTCCCTAAACTTCCCTGGTTCTTGAAGCCCCAGTGAATGTGGCATCTATGTGCACAGATCTTTGATTCCTGGGCCCTACAGCCCAGGAATGACACATGTCAGACTGGGAGTGGGGTCCTGAGCTCCATCCACCCAGAGCTCTGCAACCAGTTCACTGGCTGACCCTGGGCCTGTTCCCCCTTTGGTGAACAGAGCGTGGCCAGCCAGGCCAAGCACATGGCATCACCCCATCATGTCCACATCTGCTCCTCGCGGTTCAGTCATTGCAGCACAGGGGCTAACTGCATGCCTGCTTGAAACAGACTGAAAGATTCCGGAGAGAAGCCAGGGAAGGGGGCGTCCAGGCCAGAGGACATTCAGCTCATAGGCCGTCTGCAGACCCGCTTGAAGGAGAGGGAGGAGATCATCAAGCAGCTCACGGTGAGGCTTCAGGGGCATTTGCTCTAGCCTGGCACTTCCCTGGGGACCTAAAACTGTATTCCTGATAACCTGAAAACCACCTTACAAAAGGTCCTTGGATATTGTTTCCCTGTTGTATAAAATAATACATGCTCACTAGAAAAAATTAACACAGGAAAGTAGAAGGCAAAAAATAATCACTCCGCTCCCAAGTCCTACACCATCTGCCTGATGTTGGTATTGGTTTGTGTTTTGCTAACCTATAGAATTTGGGAAAATCTAGAATGACCTGGCAGAGAAGGCAATGGCACCCCACGCCAGTACTCTTGCCTGGAAAATCCCATGGACGGAGGAGCCTGGTAGGCTGCAGTCCATGGGGTTGCAAAGAGTCGGACACAACTGAGCGACTTCACTTTCACTTTTCACCTTCATGCACTGGAGAAGGAAATGGCAGCCCACTCCAGTGTTCTTGCCTGGAGAATCCCAGGGACGGGGGAGCCTGGTGGGCCGCCATCTATGGGGTCACGCAGAGTCAGACACGACTGAAGTGACTTAGCATCAGCAGCAGCAGCAGAATGACTTGGGCCTCACATCTGTGCCTCCTCACACTTTGACCATTGCTTTAGGCTTTTGTCCAGGCTTCCTGTGCTCCACACTTTGGTTGAAAGTTCTCTATAAGCCAGCTCCCAGTGGTTTACATTCAGCTCTGGAGACGTTGGGTGATACACACTTCTATCAGCGTGGCCCATATGGGTCAGCTAGTTAGCCACATGAGAAGTCCAGCCACTTCCCTGGGTCTCTCCCTTCACCACCTTGGTCCAGGCCCCACTGCCTCTTAGGAATGGTGGAGAGTCCTTTGGTCTCCCCACTCACTCCAGCCTCACCATACTCTGTTGACCTCACAGCAACCAGGGTAATCTTATTCAAATGTAAGACAGATCACAGCACAGCGCTATTCAGTACTACCTATGGCGCCCTGTTCTTCTCAGAGTAAAATCCATGGTCTTAGAGTGGCTTACACAGCGACACATCCTCCCACAACACACACATACACTTGTATCTCAAATTCATCCTCGCACCCTCTTGCTCCCCAGGCACACTGCTTCATGTCAAGATGATGAGGAAAACTTAACCACTAACTGAAAATTAGATGATACTAATAAGGAATTGGAGAAGGAAATGGTGACCCCCTCCAGTATTCTTGCCTGGAGAATTCCAGGGACAATAGAGCCTGGCAGGCTACAGTCCATGGGGTCGCAAAGAGCCAGACTTGACTAAGTGACTAACACACAATAAGGAATTGCTTGTTTGTTAAGTGTGACAACAGTATTGTGGTTTTGTTTTGTAAAGAGTCCTTATCTCTTAGAAATACTTATCAATGTTTTTACAGATGAAATTATACACCTGGAACTTATTTTAAAAACAAGACATCTGGGAAGAAAAAAAGTGGAAAATAACACAGATAAAGAAGATTGACCATACAGTGATTGCGTTTTTGTTTAGTCACTAAGTCATGTCCAACTCTTTTGGACTGTCCAACCCCATGGACTATAGCTCACCAGGTTCCTCTGTCCGTGGAATTTCCCAGGCAAGAATAATGGAGTTGGTTGCATTTCCTTCTCAGATCTTCCTGACTCAGGGATTGAATCCACATCTTTGGCGTTGGTAGGCAGATTCTTTACCACTGAGCCACCAAGAAAACCCATATAGCAATTGTACCTGGGTGTTTTTTATTTTGCCTTAGCTAATAACTTTTTGCAGTAGACTTTTCCCAGATGCTAAGACTACCTGGATCTCTGATTTCCCTAAGGCATGCCAAATAAGCTTGTCCTTTCCTTTACAAGAGGGGCTGGGGACACAAAGGCCCCAGAAATAAAGGTGCTTCCTCAAAGCCTCAGTGGATTGTAATTTGATTCCCACTGACTTCCCCTCTTTTCCCTGGTTTTTCCTCGTCTCTGTAATCTGCCCTCACACAGCCATCTTCCTTCAAATCAAACTCAGTGTGCTGTGTAGTTAGTCTCATTTAGACTCAGTCGTATTTTTTCCAGGAGGAGAGAAGATTTCACTATGCAGCGTTCCCCAGCGCAATGTCCCATCGGAATAGATCCTTCTCTTTCAATCCTCACCCAGGGTATTTGACCCCTTCCATGAAGGTAAATTGGTACTACTGGTTTCAATGCATTACATAATTCTGCTGGCTTTATTTTCCCCAAAGATAATGGTAGCTTATTTATCAACAATCTGGCATTCATTTAGATAAATATTCATTGAAAATAAGGCCCCCAGGAAATAGTCCAAATTACTAGCAAATTGTTTATATCTGACTAGGCAGATTTTATATATATTTTTTATTTTTATGAGTTTTTTTAACTTTCCAAACTTTTTATATATGTGTCACTACTGATAGTGGCTATATCTTGGTGATAGGAAGGAGAAGGAGAGGGGCAAGAACCCTTCACTTCACCTTTTTTCTCCTTTTATATTTTTGGAATGTATTACAGTGAAAATATTCACATCCAAATTTCTCATCTGCTGTCACAAAATCCTAAAGCACTAAAAAGTTTATATTTTTTTGGTAATTCATTAACTCCAGCTGAATTCATGTGAGCTCATTTATAATTTTTATATATCCCTCTTCATGTGACAAAATGTAAGTTTCATTCCAGAAATATTAATGTATTGAGGACAGTGTGGGCCAGCTTCTGCTGAGGGTGCCTTTTAAAATCTAAAAAACTTTAAATTAAAAAATATATTTGCTGCCAGAAGTTTTGGATAGAGATTGTGAGCCTGTTTTAAAGCACAACTAAATGCTTTAAAAAAGAACATGTAATAGATAAGTAAAAGTATTGTCTCTTGCTCACGTAATTCTGGCATGGCAGGCTCACCTACTTTTACAGTAACGCTGGTTTTAGGTGGCACTAACAGGCCTTTCCTTTAATCCCAACAGAAGAAGAAGGTGGAGGAAGTGCCCAGCCGAGTGGTCAGTGTGCCTAACCTCGCTTCCTACGCCAAGAACTTTCTGAGTGGTGACCTGAGCTCCAGGATCAGTGCCCCTCCGATAACTAAGTCACCCAGCTTGGACCCAGGTCCCAGCTGTGGCCGGCCCTACAAACCCACCCCATCTCTAGATGTGAAAACTGCCACAAGGTAGGGGGCCAAAGCTGGGCTTCCCAGGTGGCGCTAGTGGTAAAGAACCTTCCTGCCAATGCAGGAGATAGAAGAGAGGTGGGGTTGATCCCTGGGTTGGGGAAGATCTGGAGAAGGGCATGGCAACCCACTCCAGCATTCTTGCCTGGAGAATCCAATGGACAGAGGAAGCTGGCGGACTATGATACATAGGGTTGCAAAGAGTCAGACACTACTGAAGCGACTCAGCGTGCATGCAGAGGGCCAAAGCTATGATTCCATTTTTCTGTAGCCAGGAGGGAAATTAGAATTCCTTTCTGGCACCTGTTAAATACCCAGCATTTGGGCCGATACAAAGAATAACAAAACAAGCCTTGCCTTGGACAAACTGCAGCTCAGCCAAAAAGTTTATCTATGAGAAAGGAAATAGGTCATTCTTTAGAAGAGATACTATTCCTGATAAAAAATTCCAGAAAGCCTCTTTTTTTTTTACTTTTCCATGGATGAGTAGACAGGGGACACTGAATCACTTAGCCGATCACTTCAGAGTGGTTCACGCAAACAATGGGCTGTTGTCATCTGGCCTTGAGTCTGGATTCAAATTCTGGTCCTGCTCATTCTTAGCTTGTGTGGCTTTGGGCAGCTCACTTGACATCTCTGTTTCCTTACCTCTAAAATGAAGATAATATACCACCTACCTCTTCAGACTCATGTGAAACTAAAGGAATTAATCCATAGGACATGCTTAGCACAAGACCTGGCATAGAAGCATTCAGCAATTTTCCACTATTATTAAAAGGTTATTTCTCGATTCATTATATAATCTTGTAATTTTAATCTTAATCTGTGGGTTTGGTTGATCTCATATGGTGCTCTCTGATACTGCTTTGTTTTCCAGAAACTCTTGCAGCATGCTTCTCTTCCAGAAATATGATTTCCCCTGTTGCTGATTTTCCTTCTTGGCCAATTTTTGTTCAGAGCTAAATCTTTAATTATGGACTTTGGAGTTTGATTTTCAGAAGAGGCCTCTTCTGAAATGTTCCTTTTCCAAAGGCCCTGTCTGCCCAAGGCTATTTGGACAAAAATGAATGTGGAGCTGGAAGGACCCCCTGCCAATCATTGAGCAAGTCCAGCCCTTTGTTTCGCAGCTGAGGATACTGAGGCCTAGAATCCCAAGCACATGGTCTATTAACTGCCAGAGCCAGAGCTGGCCTGATCCTGGCCACTGTTCATAACTCATTATCACACACCTTTTTAAAGCTGTGTTCCCACTGTTTTATAAGAAGCTTCACAAGTACAGATAGAGACTGTTCAGATAGGTAAACACTGTACTTACTTATCATCTCTCTTTTTCAGTTTATTAGACTAATTTTACAGCCTCATTTAAAGGCCAGAGCACATTAGGTAACTTTTGAAGAGGCCATAAAGTGTAATTTTATATTCATTAACCATTTCTTCTTTTACTTTTTTTTGAAGGGGGTTTATTGTTTAATTTGTCCCTGAAATAAATATTAAGTGTTGCGGACTTCTCTGGGAGCCAGAGGTTGAGTCCACCTATCAGTGCAGGAGATATGGGTTCAGTTTCTGGTCTGGGAAGATTCCACATGCCATGGGGCAACAAAGCCCGTGCACCACAGCAAGAGAAGCCACTGCAATGAGAAGCCTGCACACTGCAACTAGAGAGTAGCCCCTGCTTGCCACAACTAAAGAAGGCCCCCGTTCAGCAAGACCCAGCTCAGCTATATATACATACATATATATATATATATTTTTTTTTTTTTTAAGGACATATATATAGCTTTAGGACATATATATCTCAGCTATATATATATATTTTTTTTTCTTTTAAATAGTGAATGTTGCAAACTATGCCTCATTCCTTTTAAGTGAAATAATAGAGAGCACTGTTTCCATAACAGAATTAGATGCTCTCTCTTCATCCTCATCCTTCACAACTTTTTCTAGCTACTGATCTTTTGAAGAGTAAAGCAGTAGTTATCTTTCACTGAAAAGACGATGGCATATTAAGTTGTTTACTGAATAATTTTCAAAACCATTTAAGAAAACTTGTTTGTTTTTAGGACACAAGATGATGATACAGCCCAACCCAAAGAAGTCCAACAGAAGCAAGGTTCAGCTCACCAGGAATGGTTTACCAAATATTTTTCTTTCTAAACTGATCCTTGGGAAAGCATAAAGAGGATATTTGAAAAACATTTCTTTTGAAACACCTGATTGAAGGAATGAACTAAAGAGTCAACCAATCAAATAACTTGCTTGCAATATGATTTACATATATAGCTAAAACAAATTCTTACATTAACATTTCATACTGTTTCATTGTGATGTTAAGATGAAACAAGCCAGTGTTTTCAGAAAGCACCCATAGGGAAATATTAATGTTACTGATGACCTATACATATTTCTAGTGTCCATAAGATTGCACACCACCTTGTGGAATATCAGACTTTGTGCTTTCCACCGTCTACTTTGAAAGTGGTTTCATTTTTCCTAGGATGCTGATCATCTTTACTTTAAACTGTTTCTATGTAAATAATTTCAAAATGCACACGTAACCTCAATAGGAAGGGAAATAAAGCAAAGCTCAGAATAACCAGGAAAGTCGTTTTTAAAAACCAAACCAAACTACTATGAATGGACTATAGCAGAAATTGGCATAGTTGGATCAAATATTTTGACTTCCTAGGTCCAGGACATGAAGATTACAGAGGATGTAACACCTACCTCAAAGGGGCTTTTTGAGGTTTAAATAAAATATGGGTAATAATTCTAATCATGAACTGGAATTAAGCCTTGCCAGGATTTTTCTGTGAATAATGGAGCCTCACCCTGTCATACATCTCGACCTCAATGACTGTAGTATCAGTTTGATTGTTTGTGATGGTTTCTAGACTATCTGTTCTTTGAAGTCAAAGACCTACTGAACCTCTAGTCTTGCCTCGTGGTGCGTTGCTTCCCCACTGCATGGATGCTCAGTAGATTAAAGGGAAATGGGAATGGCTGTTCAGTGCTGACCTTGCTGTCAGTCCATGATGAGTTGTCTGATCCTCTGATGGAGCACTGCAATTTAACAAACTCAATACAGCTTTCGGTGGGAAAAATATATTCTCAATCCTTTGGTGCTGGCCCAGCAGGTGGCCTATAAACAGTTGTCTATTCCATGCACTGTCAAATCTTTGCTCTCTGAATAAAACTTTAAACAATTGGGCAATAAAAATGGTGTGACTTGTATTGATTTTTCAGAGGTGAAATTATACAAAGGCTGAACTTGGAAACAGGGACTTCACATTAACCTCAGTCAGATCATCTTCAATAAAATGGAGCTACTCATGCACTTGGATCATTTTGAGAGAAATGCAATTACAACTCAGACTCACAATTTGAAAGTAAATTTACTACCTAATTAAAACATGTAGCCCAATAACATACTTTTTTAAAATGCAAATACTTACTACCATCTGTGTAACATGCCCTGTTACTTTTCAGTATCAAGTATTTTTAAATTTTATTTCCTGCTTAAGGTAACATTATAGGATAGTGTTCTGTGTTTTTAAAAATACATACAGGTAGTACATACAGTAGTTCATTTTTTGTTGAAATATTTTCCCACCACTGTGCAACTCCTGATGACTAACAAAGGAGGCTGTTTAACTCGGCATAACACATGCTACAGAGATAGAATTTTATTGAGACCCCACATCAGTTTTAACTCCTTGTTGCATGTGACTAAAAGATCATGCTAAATTTCAAGGTTATACACAAATAATTATCTTTGCTAAATACATCTTGGCATGCATCTATCATTTTTTCTTTAGGACATATTCCTTGAGTATTGAAATAAAGCATCAAAGGATATGCCTAGGCTTTTTGTGTAATACTACCAAATTACCAAAAAGTTTCTAGCAATTTACACCTTCACCAACAGGGAATGAAATTCTCCCTCTCTGTACCCTAAATGATAATGATAAGGAAATTTGAGAGAGAAAACATTCTTGTTTTCTTTTGCATAATCTGGTTCCATTCATCTCTCAAGAGCAGAGTGGTCTAGAGATGATGGGGATGGCTTGGAGGTTAACAGCAGACATTAAGAGAAATGAACTGATTCAGAATTGATTTAGGAGGAAAACAGGGTATCTCTTTAGGCTATATTATAACAGAGAGGAGGAATTAACATATTCCTGGAACAAAACTGGAAAGGAACATTTTCCAGTTGCCAACTGTTTCTTCACTGGGGGAGAAAAGAATGAAGTCGTCCAATTAGCAGTTGCACACTACATACCTGAGCCCTTATTACTGCTCCAGTGTCATTGCAACAGCAGGTGCAACTGAGGCTGTTTGCTATATACTCGGTCTCCAGCCTCTACCTGGACTCTATATGGTCTAGTCTGGGAAAGTAAACGGAGCTATGATTGGGACGAGTTTCCTAGCATCCTTTAGGTTTCTAAGAAAAGCACTAATCTCCACCATCCCCCAGGTGCAGCACTGGTTTTGATCTGCTGCCTCCTACTAGCTTCTCAGCTGTCTGTTCTCCCCCTGCAGGGGATAACCAAAGATGCCCCAGGAACTCAGAGGCCTTTGAGCATTAAAGTTACTCTGTCATTGTCCCCTTTGCTGCGAGTCGAGACAGTGGAGTGTTAACCAGTCAATTCCACCGTTCTTATACGCAACACTGAATCTGTGCATTGACAAAAGTTCCCTTCCACTGGGACACTTGCCCAGGGCAGCACTGGTAAAATCAATAATGAGGCCACCCTCTTGTGCTGGTGACTGGACCTCACATCCCACTCAGGATGTATCTTCCTGCCAGTTGAACAGTGAGTGAGTCAGTCTCCAACCTCACTGTCCTGTCGATTCTCTCAGACCGTGCTCACAGCAGCATGTCAGTCACGCCCTCCAGGAGATATACACTGAGACAGCTGAAGGAGCAAAGACCACCAGACACCTAGCTACAGGTGAATGAGTTGCGTTTATTATTTGTTGGAACAGAGGAAGAATGTCCATCATGAAGAATCCTGGGGCTTTTCAGAGTGTTTTAGAAAGATCCTATTTTAAGATTTTGGCATTGGATACTTTCAAGGAGGTTCTAAAAGAGCAGGGCTTCACTCCAAACTGGATGCTGTCAGAAAGGAGAGGAAACTCTACAGCTGGATCTTATCTTACTCCAGTAGTCATATACAGATGTGAGAGCTGGACCATAAAGAAGGCTGAGTGCCAAAGAATTGATGCTTTCAAATTTTGGTGCTGGAGAAGACTTTTGAGAGTCCCCTTGACAGTAAAGAGATCAAACCAATCAACCCTAAAGGAAATCAACCCTGAATATTCATTGGAAAGACTGACGCTGAAGTTGGAACTCCCAATACTTTGGCCCACGTGATGTGAAGACCTGACTCATTGGAAAAGACCCTGATGCTGGGAAAGATTGAAGTCGGGAGAAGGGGATGACAGAGGATGAGATGGTTGGATGGCATCACCAACTCAATGGATAGGAGTTTGAGCAAACTCTGGGAGATAGTGAAGAACAGGCAAGCCTGGTATGCTGCAGTCCATGGGGTCGCAAAGAGCTGGACATGACTGAGCAACTGAACAACAACAACAGAGAGAGCAGACTAGAGAGAAAGCTACAAATGGTTAAAAAAAAGTTGCAGTCACTTATTTTTTAGCCAGGACAATGTCTGGTATTTGAGGGGTGGCAGTGTGACCTTTATTTTTTCCTGTGCTTATACAGTTGTGGTTTGTTTTGCTCTATCATGGTCTCAGAGTAGCTTTGTCTAGGAGGCTGGTATCCTTAGACTGCTTCTGTCTCACAGGAGAATAACACAGCCCAGCAGTGCTGAATCAGTGTCTGATGTCAGGGGCAGGTTTCCCCCCTTCTCAGGAGAAACACTTGTGTTGAATTAAGAGGAGGAGGCAGGAAGAGCCTTCATATTTTGAAACATAGTTGACACCTGTAGCGAGAGCCAAGGAAGATTTGGGCAAGAACCTTAGATAGCAGCAGAGTTAGGAGAAAAAGCCTTGGTCAGGCTGAGGAGCTTCAGAGGAAGGACTGACTGCCCATTAAAGAAGTCCGTGTTGGGCAGAAATAACGCGGCCCCACTAGCCCCACCGTGCCTGTCATATCCAGGAAGGGCAGGGCCTTTGAGAAAACTGAGCAGGGCTCCTTCATGGCCTCCAGAGGCCCGAGGAATGTCAACACTGAGGAATGTCAACATTTATAGGCTGGGCAGAAGACCAAAGAGGAAAGTTAAGATGTGTTAAAGACAATGAGTTCAAAAAAAGATGATAAAATGTCAAAGTGAAGCAGGTGAGAGCATGTGGAGGAGTTGGAGACTGAATGAGGGGCCAGGCAACGGAGTGGCGCTCAGGTATCACAACGGGAATGCTGAAGACGGGAGGCCAAGGACACTGAGCTGCAGAGTGACCTGCAGACGAGTCCCCAGCGGGTTAAACCCAGCAGAAGGCGACTGGCCTGGCCTCACGTCACTGGAGGAAAGGCTTGTCTTACACAGTGTAATGGATGGAACAGGAAGGGGGGATAAAGATGCACTCAAAATGTGGGTGGGTCTGTTATCCCTTGAGATAAGGTGAGAGAAATCCCAGCGGATACCTCGTTATTTTCTCGGATACCTCATTATTTTCTCCTCGAAGGAGGTGGCATCCTAGAGGGTTTTCTGTGTTTATTGACCAGCAAAATACATCACGAAAAATGAAAAAGTTATTTAGTGAAATGTTATTTGACAGAGAACTTTTGAATTTAGTAAAGAAATGGTAATAACTGGTACACCATTAATTCAAAATATTTTTAGTAAGCCCAAATAGAACAGTCTCTGAACTTTTCACTAAGAACCTCTTCATTCATAGAATGTCTAAAATGTTATCTTATCGGTTGGGTTTTTAATCAAGAAATCTAAAGCTGCCAATCAGTTTCTGATTGGCATAAGATGACCATGTTAACAACCTTGAAATCAGATAATGTGATTAAAAACAACCTTTAAAAGCTTTATCTATACACTCTGACTGAAGGAATTCATTGGCCTCAGGCTATGTACCATACATGTTAAGCACACAAAAACAAGTACTATGTATAAAAAATAACATATGGTCCCTCTGTATTCAGAGGGGAATAATGCCTACTCTTCATGAGAACAAAGAGACAGATCACTAACCCAGAGGGAGAACCAAGCAACTTCTTCTGCCAAGCTGGCAGAAGGAACAAGAGGTCCTGTGTCCTGGGGATGTGATGGAGGGCCTTCAGAGGCTGTGGAGACCAGGTGACATCCAGGCCAGACGGAAACTTGAGGATGTCAAGGTGGGTGGGGCAGGGCCTTCAAGACCAGAGAAAGCAAAGTCAGCCAAGACCTGAGTCACAGAAGCACTGCCTGTTCAGAAGTGCTGCACTGGTTGAGAGTGATGGGGTGTAATCTAATGAGGAACTGTAAACAGAGAAAGGAAAGCCTTATCTAAGGAGACAGGGCACAATGCTGGTTTATATTTCTCAACAATAGTTCAACAGAGAAACTGAGATGGCCTTTGTGGCCAACAGAGGGTAAGATATCTTCCCCACACCGTCTCTCATGTACCCTGCAGCCCGCCTCCCACTTCAAGGTCCCAGTCCCTTGGAATCAACACCATTAGAAAGAACCTTTGTTACCAGAAAAATCTGCTCCAAAAGAGCAGAACAAACACACAAAACTTAAAACTCAAGAGATGATCACAGCAAGTTCATATTCACCAACGCCTCTGTTGAGAGCAGGGTCCACTGTGTTAAGCTGATTCATTATTGTAGAAGTGAACAACATTAGCATTATCACTGCTCCCACCACTGCACCCCAAAAGTAAATAAACACTACACAAAAGATAAACTTACCCCAAATAAAAGTCAACATTAATTTAAGGATACTACTGGATTTCTAAAGCACTAGGTTACTGAAGTACAGTAACAGTCATTACACTAACCTAGGATATTATAATCCTCTTCCTCTTCCAATCTATTTATAAAATATTCTTACTGTGAGCCTCTGAAAGTTTTACACTGTGCACTAGACTCCTCTTCTTGAGGTAGTTCAAAGTCTTGAAAAACAGAAAAGTTGCATATTTTTATACACTGCCATTGAACAGTAAATTATCATGAAAGCCTACAACCAAAATCCTCATCCTCTGATATGCAGCTCCATCATATAAGCTTTCCCCCTCATGTCATACAAACTAATCTAAAACTGAAAACACAGAGAGATTGAGTCATACAAAAATAAAAACAATATAAAAGCAAGCATAAAAAAAAACATAAAAGGAATCTGTAAATAGCATCACACTACCAGTCTTAAACTTTGCTCAAGACTATACTTGGTTTACCACAGCAGTAAGCATTTTATAAAGTACTCAAGAAATAACACTTACAAAAATAGGGGGAAAATTTTAGATGAGAGCACAAAACTAAAATCATCTCATTCTCTGGCAAAGAGTTCTCCCAAAATGTCAAGTCTACAAGAAGTGATGTTTAGCGAAACAGTGTTCGGGCTGACTCAGGCACCAGCCAGTGTTCGGGTGGCTGTTCCTCAGGTTTGCTTCATCGGTGCAGGGATATTTGCAGACGCCTGCTCAAGGTAGGCCAGGGAGCCCTGAGGGATGTCGGCTGGCTTTTTGTGCTGCATGTTGATGTCCTCCAGCACCTGCTGCCAATGTCTTAGTTTTGTCAAGTGCTTCTGGACCAGAGCATCCTTTCGCTGTAATTCATTCCTCAGTTCTGAGACATCCTACAAATGAAACCAATCAAAGCAATGAAGTCAGAGCAAACTCATGAAAAATGAACATAATTCCTGATTAGTTAAGAGCACTAAGAAGTAAATTCAAAACAGAATCAATTAAGCCATACTAGGCCGATTACTCTGCTTAGCTGCATAATTTGAATAACCCAAAGCAACTCTTTCCATGAAAGATGCCTGCTTAACACTGAGTTATTTTTAATTCATGTCCTTTTGTAAGTAATACAAGTCACAAAATTCCAAAGTACCAAAGGGCAGCCAAAAAGAGATCAGTCTCTTTTTTATCCTGGCCTCTGGGCACCCAGCATTTCTATATCCAAAGCCTACTGTGAGAAGAATCTAAACACTTGAGAATCTGAAACACATATTAACTGTTTTAAAAGAATCCACAGCTACCATTCTATCATTTCAGATTATGAAGCAGTAAACCCTCATTTTTAAGAGTTTTTTTTTTTAATGAATGACAGTATTAAAATTCTGCATTAAGACCTGGCCTTGAACATACCTAGACTATCACTCAGGTATTCAAATCAGGAAATGATTTGATATGGTGAATAATAAGAATATCATCTTCTTACCATTCACCTTCTTAATAGCTGGTATCAAAGAATAAAAACATTTTAACTGATTGCTCAGCTGTGGGAGAAGTTACTTTAAAAATTATTTTAAAATATTCCAATTTGGTTTTTCCCATTGAAGGAATTGCTGTGTTTTGGGCAGGAAGATTCTTCTCTCTTCCATATTGCAGGGAGCAGACCCTGGCCCAACCCACAAAATGCCATTAATGACAACCTCAGAATCAGAATGCAGTTTAAGACAACTAGGTTGAGTAGAAGGCATTGGAGAATGCATTAACTTGCTGGAAATAATTGTGATATATGAAGTTCCCAATTGATGGAATTATTTAATAAGACGAAGAAATTTCTTTAAAATCATAAAGCAGTTTAAAAATAAATTGGTAAAAATAACTGTACTATCTAATAGAGAATTATTCAACCAAGAGATGAGTCAAGTGACTGTTATTTGTTTATGGGTTAGTAACAGTTTATTTGTAACCTTGATTATATTGAAAGATAACTTACTGTTAGTATATTCTGTATTAATAAAAATGAAAAAAATTTAAAAAAAAAATGACAACCTCAATATATTTCCAAGACTCTGATTTCAAATAACTGAGATAAATGAAATCTTGAGTTTCAAGGAACCTGGAACAGAACACTAACTTTTTGATTCCTTGAAAAAACTGCGTAGAATTCTTCCTGTGTGTAAGGCACCAGGGACACACAGGCTAGTTTCTATCCAAAATGAGTTTATCATCTACATTAATAGCTTTTCAATATTTTCAAGCAGTAGAACTTTTTTTTAAAAAAGAAAAATCTTCCACAGAAACTAATGTATGAAACAAGTAAAGGCTGCTCTGTTTGAAGCCCTGCTTTCCACCCCTACTCCTAAGGTGCAGGTTGTCATGAACACTGACAGCCAACACTTTACACTCAAGCTATGAAGCCCCACTATAACTAGTGGGCAAATGGAGCACCTCGGTTAAAGTGTAAATGGTATTTTGACGACATTTGTTCTTGCTTAAACTCGGGAAGAAAGCTGAGCTTGTACCTCTTTGATAACTTGCTCTGGTTTCTGTACAGATAACTGCAATCTTTTTTGTAGGAAAAAACATTCTGTCTGTCTTGCAATATCTAGGAATTTCTGGATACACTGGTCAACACCTTTAAAAAAAAAAAAAAAGACCAAAATATTAAATTAAGAAAAACACTAGACACACATATCTCTCTCATAAATGAACAGTCGGAATATCAGATGGGATCAGGCGTTTTAATCCTGCCCACAGCAATAATATTGACCCCTGACCTCCTATGTATTAACCAACATTAAATAGCAGATAATCCATGCATTTATAAAGTGAATAAGAGGCCTACTGACAGTGCAAAGTTCTTCCAAAGAAAGACAATGCAGAGATCCAGCAATTAACAACCCATTGACCAGGGACATATACATGTCTTCCGTTACCCAAACATTATTGACCAGAGATGTTTCAGTATTCACTTACATAACAAAATACCAGCCATAGGCATTCATTTCTGTGAAAATCCCCTGGTCAGTAATGTGTTAACATCGCGATTTCCAGGTGAAATTAAACATTTAAAACACAGTACAAAGAAATCACAAGTACCTGTCTGGGGACAGAACTTGGATGAGAAGGGAAAAGCACAAAACTTAATTCTTTAAAAAGCAGTACACCCTATTGGCCTTCTCTGTCTTGGTACCAACATGAAAAGCTCATTCATTTTAAGTGGTTCATTATGAGCGACATGAAATGTCAATAAACTGGACAAAAACCAGAGGTATATAGATTGACTACACAAATCTTACTCCTGGAAAAGTTCTCTCAGGATACAGCAGGACTGAAACATACCAAATGTAAAATCAGCAATGACAGAATTCTTACCAGTTCGAATTTCTTCCTGATCTGTACCATTGACATAATCTTGACTCACCAGAGAAGCAAAGCAAGCCTGTGTGATCAAAATATCACAGAAGAAAAAAATGTCATTCACACATCAAGAATCTTAGAGTAAGAAATGACTTCTCCTGATGTCATTCAATTAGTTAACAGCTTCTGGGTTTGCATACCAAATGACAAGACACTGGTAAACTGAGCCCATTAGGCCCACATAGGAAGCTGGTATTTGCAGGCACCCCATCTGGTCTCTCTCCCACTGCTGCTCCTTTTCCAGCTGTCTCATTCCACACAAGGGCCTGGATCCCTATTCCAGTCCCATCTGTAGCCCCTTCCTCTGATGCTTACATGACACGTATCACCACACATTCAGGAATCAGGTCAATTGTCACCTACTCAGAGGCTACCCCTGTCTATTCTTTCAAAATGGTGTCCCTCAGGTTCATGCTCCAACCTCAAGCCCTGCATTATTGTTTTTAACTTGGTTAACTGATCTTGTGCCATTCTCTCAGTTCATTATTAGCTGTGCCTTACTAGCAGCTGGGAATTTTGCCTGTCTTACTGTCTGGCACAATGTGGATGCTCAATAAATACATGTTACTGACTGACTGGACAACCTAAGAGAAAGTGGTGTCATATGAACAAACAAGTCCCAATGAAGGATTCTCTATAAAGGAACATGGATCTAGAGGCACAGGAGTTCTGTGCAAGGGTAACTCTCAGGAAATGGAGGAAGAAGGGCGATTGCAGAACAGAAAGGCCAAAAAGAGAACCAGATGGGACCCAGGGTGGGGGGGGGGGGGGAGGGTGAGGAAGGAAAATCTCAAACCTCAGGAAAGCACTGACCTAGTTTGCTAGTAAGCAAACTACATTAGGTGTGAGGCAGGCAAGTCTAGGTTCAACCTTAGGCCATCAACCAGATGTGAGAGCCTTTCTCCTGCCTGCAGTTACCCTTCAGAAAAATCAAAGATTTCTCCAGGGAAAATCCTGTAACAATTAAGAAATTGGAAAAACAGACTGCCCATTCTGTGTATTACTTTGAAAGGTGACCCTTGCTGGATTTGGGATGTAGGGGGTGTGCACCTGCTTTGTGAAACCTGTGGCTAATGGAAAACATCTCATCCAGGAAGTGAGCCAGTCACAAGCTGGCAAAGAAAGCTGGGGCTGCTCCTTCACCAGCAGAGCCACCAAAGAGGATGGGAGGAAAACTCATCTCAGGAATTTTAGTTTCCTCTTTTCCCTTAAAAAAATACAAATAAATAAACAGATAAATAATATACAATATACATATGAATATTTAGCTGACGAAAATAAAAACACTTAACTCAAAAAGGTACCTGTACCCCATGTTCATTACAGTATTTATTCACAATAGCCGAGATATATGGAAACAACGTGAGTGTCCACCAATGGATGAATGAGTAAAGAAGTTATGGCATACTCACATACACAACGAAATATTATTCAGTCATAAAAAAGAACAAAAGCTTGCCATTTGTGACATGGATGGACCTTGAGGGTGTAAGTCAGCCAGAGAAAAACAAATACTATATGATCTCACTTATATATGGACCTTAAAAACCCCACCACCACCAATGAAACCAAGTTCACAGATACACAGAACAGATTGGTGCTTGCCAGAGACAGGTGATGAGATGAGTGAAGTGGGTGAAAGCTAAAAGGCAGGGAACTTCCAGTTATAAATATAAGTCATGGGAATTTCCCTCCTGGCTCAGTGGTAAAGAATTCACCTGCCAATCTGGGGGACATGGGTCTGAGCTCTGGTCTGGGAAGGTCCCACATGCCATGGAACAACTAAGCCTGTGCGCCACAGCTACTGAACCCATGCACCCCAACTACTCAAGCCTGCAGGCCTAGAACTGGTGCTCCACAGTAAGAGAAACCACTTCAATGAGAAGCTTGCACAGCCCAACTCGAGAGCAGCCCCTGCTCCCCACAACTGGAAAAGGCCCGTGCGAAGCAATGAAGACCTGAGGAGACCCTGTGAAGTCATAAACAAACAAATAAATCTTTAAAAATAGATAAACAAGTCATGGGTATGGAATGCACAGAGTAATTAAAAATATTTTTTTGTAACTATGTATGGTGACAGATATTAACTAGACTTATTGTGGTGATCACTGCAATACATACAAATTATCAAATTGTGTTGTACACCTGAAACTAGTATATATCGATTACACTTCAATTTAAAAAAAGAAAAAGAATAATCTCCCAGACTGCTGAGGCACTGATGACCCCAATTATATCCAAGTTGTAGTTGTATATGGATGTGGAAGGGAGAAAATAGTACATATTTATATAATTACCATTTGGGGCAATATTTGGATGACACACCATCTATTACTATTCTGACTTAAAACTTGTCATATGCAACCAAAGTGAAATTGAGTTTCAGCAAAACTCAAGGTCTGGGTCACCTCTGCCTCTCTCTTTACCCCCCAGCTTTCCTCCTCCTCCCTCAGTCTTAGTACCAACTTCCCCTACAGTAACTTTTAAATAACTCCATTTCAGCTCCAAGAGACTCACTACGTCAGGACCCTTTAAGGGTGGAGCACAATGGAAAGGATGCAGGACATAATGATGGACACTGCAGTCTAGAGAGGATGAGCACGTAACACGCAGGAACGCAGGAAAGCATACTCAAGGACGGGACCAAGGATGGAGTGAGACAGGAGCAACCTATTGAGAACCAAGAAGGGTCCCCCCATTGAATACGGACAAACTTCCAGTGTGCGTGCCTCCAGAAACGTCAAGGTGACGCATATTCGCCAGCCTGTGCTTGCGTGCTAAGTCGCTTCAGTATTGTCCGACTCTGTGCGACCTATGGACTAGTAACCTGCCAGGTTCCTCTGTCCATGGGATTCTCCAGGCAGCCTACTAGCGGAGAATTTCGGCCACGACTCGATGTGGCGACTAAAGCAAGTGACTTACGCTCTCTGAACCCAGTTTGTAAGCGGGTGGAGATATCGCTGAAAGAGATAACCTGCGCACGCGCAGCATGCCTGGGGTGGGGTGGGGGGGCTGGGAACACAAACGCCCACGTCTCATCTTACCTCGAAAGATGACTCCAACTCGTCCACCAAGGTACTGTTAGAAGTTCTCGGAACGCCTGGCGTGGCCTGAAGAAGCGAAGCTTGGCCCAGGAGCCCCGGCGGAGGTTGCGGAGGTCCAGGTGGCTGTCCAGAGAACATGCCTCCCAGCGGGGCCGCCATTTTGAAAATGGCGGGTGCCTGGAGCTAGGGCCCGCGGGTCACGTGACGTAACCGGTCATGTGACAGCGTCCGGGGCGAGAAGGCGTCTGTTGGATGCCCGGGAAACCGTTCGTTTGGTGCTTTATTTCCAGACTCACAGGCAACGAGGCTTTTACTTTTTTTTTTTTTAACCTTGAGAATTGAAGGCTAGGATTTAACACGGTTGTGTGGAGAGGAGAATGAGTAAGTACAGTGGAGCGAGTCCTCCTGCGGAGTCAGGTATTCCTGTACCAGTCCCGCCTTCGCTCTCAACTCCTGAAATTGCTTTGGACCTGGCGCTCTCTCTGGGCCCAGTTTTACGCTCTGGTAGAAGGGAGGTGCGCGTTCATCCCGCAGACATTTATTGAGAGTTTCACTGTGTGCCACTTATTAATCTAGTCACTGGGGATCTGGCGGAAATAAACTGGGAAAGTGTCCCCCGAATTCCTTCTGGGGAGATCCAGGTAACAAAAACGACTTAATATTGTTGAGACCCCCTGTCTGTGTGCTGGGCGCTATTTGCTTTAGATATTTATGGTTCCGTTAAATAAAGCCACTATGCTAGTTTTTTTATTTGCTTATTCATCTTTTCAGAAGCTAAATACTTTTTCACTATATTTAACTTTATAGTTATCCAGTTCATTTGTTAACTCATCTGTGTCCCAGGTTCTATTTAATGATCTGGGGGTTACAGTAATCACCACAAGTTTCTGCCTTCGGAGAGTTTACCGTTGTTTTGAGAAAGAGACGGATAAGCATGTACATATATAGAGTGATATCATGTAGAGATAACTGTCAAGAAGAAAACTAAAGCCCAGTAAGGGGATGACACCCTGGAGGAGGCATGGCAACCCATTCCAGTATTATTGCCTGGAGAATCCCCATGGATAGACACGCCTGGGGGGCTACAGTCCATGGGGTCGCAAAGAGTCGGACACGACCAAAGCAGCTTGGCATGGCAAGGCACACTCCTAAAACACTTTTGAGGACTCCAGATGTTTATGTGAGGTATGTTGGGCAATATTTACCTATTAAAAAGGTAAGCATTAAAATTGAAACTTTAAAAATATATATTGGAAAAATAAGCCTATTATATGATAACAAATGTTTTAATTAAAAATCTAAATTCTATAAAACCAAAAATACAGTGGAAACATTTTGCATTTTACTCTTGGGTTTCCAATGGCCATAGGGCTACTTGAAGTCTAGATTTCTTAACTTCAGTGATCTATTAACACTATTGTGTTCTAAACCACTACTCTCTTGGATTTGCTATCTGAAGCCATGCCTTGTCCTTAGTGATTCAGATGCAAATTACACCACCTGTCTCTGGAAGTTTTAAGGATCTGCCAAGGTTTTCTGAATACTTGGTAGCCAGATGCACCAGCAATGAGAACTAAATTTCATCTCAGCCAGATTAGGTAAGCACAGGAATCCGGTCATTCTGTTTGTATCCCACACACTAGTAAACACAGAGTTTTATTTTTATTTATAAGAAGTTTTATTAACAAAAATTCTATTTTTTTATTTATATTCTTTTATTTATAAAAAGCCTTTTATAGGCTTCTATCAAATCCCAACTTGGCCTTCTGAATCACATAGAAGAAATCTAAATGTTTTTCTTTTCACAAGCCAGTAGTTCCCCCTCATCATTTCAATGTTTCCTGCTGAAGTAGCTTCTGGACATGAATGCCCAGAGAAACCTGTTTACACACTGTTCCTAATTTTAATCAAATTTAAATTCATGTTATTTATTAACATGGATATGATATGCATATCCCTTTCTATAAGCCAGTTTAGACACATTATACCCATTTACATAATATAAAGAAGGCAGAGCATTGAAGCATTGGTGCGTTTGAACTGTGGTGCTCCCTTGGAGAGCAAGATCAAACCAGTCAATCCTAAAGGAAATTATCCCTGAATATTCACTGGAAGGACTGATGCTGAAGCTCCAATACTTGGCCACCTGATGCGAAGAGCGAACTCATTAGAAGAGACCCCGATGCTGGGGAAGATTGAGGGCAGATGAGGCGTAAAAGAGGATGAGATGGTTGGATGGCATCACTGACTCAACAGACATGAATTTGAGCAAATTCTGACTGAATAACAACTACCACCCATTAACATATTAGGTTTTTAAAATACTCAAAATGACTCTAATTAAAAAATATCTCATTTTCAAAGTCAAAATAAAAAAAGATACTATTTTTGGATAACTTGATTCACTCAATACAAATGTAGAAAAGAGAGCTTTCTTCTAAATCTGCACAAATGGAATTTTGATTGGTTGAAGTTCCAGATGGTGGAAGTAGTTTACCCACTGACAGTCTCTCTTATGGCCCTCTTATTTCAGTTATTTCAAATAAATTCCACATCCATTCAAGTCCCAGAAGTGAAAACAAGCATTACAGTGAAACAATTAAGAATGCCAGCTCTGGAGGCAGACTGTCTGGGCTTAAATTTCTGCTGTCCCACTTACTAGCTTGGTGACATCACTGGCATGTTACTAACCCTCTCTTGTGTCTCATTTTCCTCATCTGTAATGTGGGGATAATGGTACCTGCCTCACAAATTCATCACTAAGTGCCCCAAAGTTATTAACATTGAGAAAATACATTTTTCACCATATCCCAGTATAATTACTTAGTTCATGTAACACAGCCGGAAGAGATAAATTATATTAATAGCATCACTGGGTTTTATAGTAGTAAAACTGAATGAGAGCCACACCAGAGAGCACCAAAAGTTGGATTTATTGTTTCTGACAACTGACAATTCCACAGCAACTTTTAGTTTGTTCATATTCTTAGCATCATAAATCCGAAATACAATTTTGCTTCTCAGTTAAAAACATATACTCTGAAAAGTGATTAGATAGCTTTTAAAAATCATTTTATAGAATATCTTAAAAATCTTTGCCAAGTAAGATACTAGCTTTATCTTTATAAATCTCTGCATAAAATGAAAAATCAAGGCATACAAATTTCATTTCGTTCTGTTTTTAATACCATCTTTTGTTTCCCTTAAAAGATTTTTGTCTATTCATTCAAAAGTATTCTGAAGTTCCACTGCCCATTTAAGACAGAATGAAGGCATTTTAGAGCATCTGAACTAAGCACTGTCTTGACTGAACCGAAACAGGAATTCGATCAGGGTCCTCGTGGGCCTCCCAGCCATGCCTTTTCGAAGATAAGGAACCTCATCTTTGTTGGTCATCACACCTGCTATGTCTAAATGTGCCCACTTAGGATGAGTCACAAATTCTTTCAGGAATGCTGCAGCTGTACATGCTCCTGCAGATCTGAAAAGAAAGAAAAAATCAACATTAACCCCATTAAATGTACACTGAATGTTCTATTAAGATCCTCCATTCTTGCTAAGTGGCTTCTGTGACTAGAGAGCAAAGTCAAGCCAATGAGACCTTTAAAGAAGTTAACCCAGAAATCGATACCTATCTTTAGACACAGCTTTAAGCATAAATTCTTTTTCCTGTGGTAATGACCATATTGTCCATCTCCTTCCCTTACCATTTGCTTAAAATGACCTTTAGATTTGAAAATGCAAAAACTGAGAACCAGTTGGGAAACACCTTGAAAATAAAAGACGGAAATTAGTGCTTATGAGCACTACACTGAATAGAAACTGGATAGTTTGTGAAGGAGATTAAAACTGAAAATGTTCATTTTGGCAAACAATAATTGTAAAAATGTACTTTTACAGCTTATTTTACATACCTATATTTTCCAATGTTATTAACATCAGCAAGTTGGCAATCTATAACCTGTCTTGTGTAATGTTCAAAGAGAGGCATCCTCCAGACACGGTCTCCCGTTTCAATGCTGGCCTAGAGAACAAATAGGTATGATAGTTGGCAGAATAGATGAAGCAGGTTCTGACCTGTTACTCTAAAACATGACAAATACAACAGATTCCAGAATTATTTTAATTAATTAAAAAGCTTAAGAATTATAAAAGAAGCCAAGGAATGCTGTAAAACAGTCCTACAAATTTGTAGGGCATTTGCTGAAATTATCAAACTAATATTATGGGTCTCAGTTTAAATGAATAAACTGATATCCTGTCGTGCAGACAGGCTTTGCTGGATTGATTAGGGTGAACTAGTCTTCATGATGTTTGTGACCTTGGTGTGCCTGGAACTAAACTACTTAAGGCCAGATACTAAGATAAGGTGACCTCATTAACTCATGTCATGATTTACACACTCATTCACCCATCCATCATCTACTGAACTGCTAAATACCAACAGGGGTTGGGGATCTAAAGATACTTAATATCTGAGTCATCAAAGGGCCCACAGGCTAGTAGGAGAAATGGGTAAAGGTTGTTTTGATACACTGTGGTCAAAGGTAAGAACCAAAAGTGAAAAGTCAGGAAGCAGCAATGTAAGCTGCTACTTTAAGACTCCAGAAGAATAACTAACAGAAGAATCCATCAAGGGTTGAAAGTGACTACCTCCAGGAAGAGAGGGTGTAGGCTGTATAAATAGTTGACTGTTATTTCTTTGTTCATGATAGATAGGGACAGTTGTGTGCCTGGTACAGAGGAGGGGAGAAGCCCCACATACTACCTGGAAGGAGACAACAGGGCTGAGTTTCTCCCAGAGGCTGGAGACGGTAGAGAGGAGCTTCACAAATGGCGAGATGACAGAAGTGAAAGGGAAGCAGTTTAGAGTGGAAGAGAAGTTTAGGACCTTAAACCACATCAAGAATGTATTCAGGAACATTTTGTATTTGTCCCTGCTGGTACACGGTAAGCTCCCATTAATTACTTGTTGAAAGAATGAGGTGCCAGATGGAGCTGTTTCATAGCCAAGTGGATGGGCAGGGTCTGGGGCTCAGGATAGACAGAAGCCAGAGAGGTGCCACCTGAAGGCATGGGAATAGATAGACGGGATTCCCAGTGAACACTGTGCAGAATAAGAGCATGAGGTCCAGGACTCAAGTCAACCAAAGGGGGAGACAAAGGAAAAAGCTGGCCAAGGAGGCT